ACCCCAACCCCAACCCCAACCCCAACCCCAACCCCAACCCCAACCCCAACCCCAACCCCAACCCCAACCCCAACCCCAACCCCAACCCCAACCCCAACCCCAACCCCAACCCCAACCCCAACCCCGAAAAAGAAATATCAAAAAAATTAAATATCTAACTATTAAAAAGGCAATTTCTAGCTTTAATTAAACTTATATTTTTTTTAATTTAATTATTTTAATAAATAATTTTAGAAACCTCAAAATTAATTAATTTTTTCTGAACATCATTTTTTATAACAATTTACAAGATTTTTTTATTTTAAAATTTCTTTTTTATTTGCCCAAATAACTGTATTGAAAAAATTAAGCTTAATAGGTACTTTTATAATTCATTTGATTATTTAAAACTCATTTATTAATTAATTAATTTTTTAATAGAAGAGAAAAATAAAATTTTTTATATTTATTTACAAAATTTATAAACATAAATAAATAAGTTTAATTATTGTTTAAATAAATAAATAAATAAATAAATATCTAGTATCTAAAATAATTTATGTTTATATTTGTTAAATGCTATTTTATTTAAGTCATAATAAATTAGAAATTTCTTTAAATAATAAGTTTTAAGATAAAATTTAATTTTAAAAACATAATTAATCAAAGTAAGTAAATATTTTTGAAATATGTTTTCTACTTCAACTTTAAGGATATTAATATTTTGATAAGGAAGAGCTAATTCTTATTGGGATAGATCTTCTAAGGCTTTTTTCTTCATTTTATATTTTAATATTATTGAGAGCTTAGTTAATCACTTGCTTAGACTTATTTAGCTGCTAAATATTATATTACCAGACAGCACTTTGCATGTTTACTTTTTTTGAGTTTGTTGATAAATATCGAGATCTAGAATTCTAATTACATATTTATTTATATTCATTCTAATCTACAAATTAAGATAGAGATAATTTTATATAATTGTATTCATTTGTAGCCTTTAAATTTTTATTTTCTAAATACTTTTAGAGTACTTTATCTTACTTTTAATTATAAGTATTATATGAATCTATTTGTAGCTTTAGGTGTTTCATGTATTCTTCCTAGTCATTAACTTTGTATTTTATTTTTGGTAAGAACTGTTAATCCTCTTTAGATTTACTCTCTCTAATAATATCTTTTTGGGCATAATCTGTTAAATCTTTAGAATAATTTAAATTTACAATATCCTCCAATATTTATGAATTAGATGCATCAGTGTGATGTGATAGCAATCTGGTAGTAATACTATCTCTTCTCTTTAGTAGCTTCTCAATATTTTTTAGAGAGCTATTATCAACAGATAAAATTTTATCTTTCGACACATCAAAAGATACAGACAGATCAGCTAGTACTATTTTACTTTTTCTTTTATTTTCATTCTAATTTTATACATTTTCTTGATCTTCACTTTAGAAAAATGACTCATTAACTTGATACTTTTTATTCACATTTTTAATCAAATTTTCTAGTACCTAAATTGATTATCTCTTTGTGTAGTTAGTGCTTTTATTTCTTTTCGGGCTTTTTAAAACGGATCTTCTTTTTTCAAATTGCTTTTTAGTCCTTGGACTTATTTCTATTATATCATCGTATTCTTCTATATTTGTTGGTTTCATATTTTTTTCTTGATAAACTTTCTTTTTTTTATCTATAAGCTTTGAAATCATTTCAGGAGCTTCTTTTTGAGAATTATCTTCCTTACTTTTAGAAGGACTAAATATAGGATTTTCAAAGCTCTTTTATTTATTTATTATTTATTAATACATTTTCCGTCGATAAAATGAATGTAAATTTTTTCTTGGATATATCGAAGGTGACACATTCGGATCTATATTCTTTAACTGATGGAACTCTTAATTAATTCTAAAATGTAGTTCTTGAGATTCATCTTCTTTCAGAATCTCGACAGATTTCTACTTTAATTATATATCAATTTAATTTAAGGTCTCTTATCTATTTTCTATAATAAAGCTCTGATATTTGTTAATATTTCTTTTTTACTATTGATAAGACTACTCAAATATTTGTTCTTTTTGTTTTTGTATTGTTTGAATTACTTCACTTGACAGCTTCATTACTTTATTAAAAAATTCAGAGGCTTAAATCACTAGCAATTCGCCAGCAAAACTCTCGCAAACCACAGAAAAAGTTCTATTTTAATTCAACAATAGATCTTCTTCACCAAAAATTCCATATTGGCTATAAGTATAGACTTTAACTTCTAAATTTTTATACATCTAATCCATTTTACTTTTATATTATTTTAAAGTCTAAATAGGAATTTTTTGCTTTTCACTTAAATCTACTCTTAACTTTTTCACTGCCTAAGTGTTATTTTAAAATTTTTACATAAAAATTTTTAAATTAATATTTCCAAAAATAGTTAAAATCAATTTCGAAAAGTATGTATGAATCAATAATTTACTGAAAATGATCCTGATTTAATTAAAAATACAGTAGAAGATATATCATCTTAGTTAAAAACTATTTCCCCTTTTGAAACACTTATTTCCTCTGAACTTAAATATAAATATTTCAAAGTATTAAAACTCCAATCTTAAAAGAGAATGCAGTTTCTCATGTATTCCGTTTTTTTAAGTAGCTTTTTATCCTCTTTCAGATTTACTATAGCCTTAAAGTCATCTTTTTTTATAAATATGAGCTCTGTATCTTCAATACAAGCAGCAGTTTCTTATCTATATGCAGAGGAAACTAAAGATTCTTCTCCAAAATGTTAGTACTACCCTAATTTAGAAACTAAACTTAAATTCAAGTAACGTTTAATTAGCATTTATTCAACTGTCTCATTTTCTTATGTCTCTTAAGTTTAGCTAGGTAGACTCTACTATTCATTATGCTATTATTATTGCTAATGATTTAATAGAGGATTTTATGAGGATACTTGTTGTTAATTAATAGAAATACTATTTTAATTATTATTATTATTAGTGGTCTTGTTTATTGTTTGAGTAAGGGTATCACTTACTTGTCAGTTTTATAGTAAATCTTAAAAATCTACCTCAATTTGGTATTGTTGCTATACAGTTTATTACTAATTTATTTTTTTCACTCTCCATTTTTTCATAAATAGCTTTTATTCATTTGAATCTTTACTGAATTGAGAAGAAAGTCTACCTCTTTGGAGCCCTTACCCTTCCTAATTGCAAATATTTGAAGCTTTCTTAAAAATGCCTACTTCTCCTGACAAAATAATATAGAAAGTATCAGAGTAGCTACCTTTTTTATTGATTTAAAATATTATAAAATTTATTTATTAAAAATAATACCTCTAGAGTATATCTGTTGTCCTTTTTCTTATCTTAAATACTAAAATTTATTAGCCCAATTCATCATAATCATATTATCTTCTTTAGAGTAATGATCAAAAATAGGAATTGTTTGCAGTAAATTAATTAGAGCTTATGCATCTTTTTAACTTCTTTCTCTTTCTTGTTTAGATATAAATGCAATAATCTTGTTTTTATAAGTATTTTTTCAGATGATTTTCAAAAAATATATTTAAACTTACTTATTATTCTTTGCTTACCATTCAAAACCCTTTTGTAAAATAGATATTAGTACTAAAGTTTTTACTTATGTAATTTTTCTAATATCAAATCAAATTTATAAAAAAATAACAACGAATAAATTATATAAATTATGAGTAATTTTTTCGTAAGTGATAAATCTATCAAAAGGTCATGTAATAAAAACTTATAATTACAAATTATAACATAGATAGATATAACCATCGGATCAATTGTAATTCTAAACCTTACATATAATTAAAATATTTAAACCAACTAATTAAATAAATACAAATTTATAATAGTGGTTTTTATTTCCTTATTTATGAGTGGAAAAAAATTTCTTTAAAGTAAAATTAAATATTAACTAGATATTTTAATTTATTAAATGTAAAGTGGAAATTATCTTAATAGTTCAAAAATATTTTTTTTTAATTAAAGTTTGATATTTAAAAAATATAATTTTTTTAAATAAAAATTTGGATAGCATTTAATTTTATTTTGTACAATATATTATATAAAAAGATGAAAGTAAGTACATTATTCAAATATAGTTAATTTTATTTTATAAATAATATCAAATTATAAAATAGAATAGATTCTTAAAATGATAGAGTTAAGCTTAAAAGATGACGCTATTAATTACAATTTATATTAGTAAATTAGTATAACAAAAAAAGTAGGATATCAATCTACCCATTTAAAAATAGATTAATGATAAAGTAAATTCCCATGAAGTATATATAAAAAATATTTATATAAATTTAATTTTACATTTTGTAATCTATGTTTGTTATTTTCTTTTGATTTTTGTATTTTTTTAAAGATTTAAAAAAACTATAATTATACAGGTGTAAATAAATATAAAATAAAATAAGATTCATCATTTATCTATATGTGCTATTTGCTTATTTTTTACTTGATCTATTTCTGACTTAGAGGTGTAAACTGAAAGAGCTATGCACATAAATAAAAGTAGAGATGTAACTTTGTATGGAATTTATTAAAAGTCGAAGGGCATTTCTAAGAACACGATCAGTTGTTGCTAAATCATTATAGATAATAGCATTCCTATTCCCAAACCAACAATACCGTTTATTATCATAACTGAGATACCTTCATAAATGAATCTACATTAAAAATTATTGAAAATAAATTATTTTCATGTCTATAATTTAAATATTTACATCTTCTGCACTTGATTATGATTCAGTCCAATAGATTTAAAAATTTTTATATTATGGAGATTTTCTTGCACATTTTACTTGAAAGTAATAGTGAGGAGATAGTATGTAAGTATAAAAATGAATACAGATACTAAATTAAAAAGTAAGCTCCAAAATTCAACTAAATAATTGAGAGAGACAAGGATAGAATGAGTGTCATAGAATGATACATTCTAAGAATCAGAATGAACTGATGATTCTTATTTATTCTCAGTTAAAATACTTTTAAGCATATTTTTTTATTATTGAGTTAATTCGACCTTGTCATGTAGCCTAATAAAGAGCTATCCTTTAGGAATATTGAAGGTTGAATTTTTAGGGAAACTGTTAAGCATTAAATTAATACTCTCTTCAGAATACCCTTCGATTTCCCAAGAAACTCTCAATATATGATGAAATTATTCATAAGATATAAGAGCTTCGGAATCCTAAAACATAGAAAATACAGAATTTTCAGTAAAAGTTTTGAAGCCAGGTATCTTTTTTGCAAAACCTGCAGGTTTTCCTTTATATCTTGTAGCTCCAAGGATAAAATCCATATGGCAGTTTTATTCAACTGATAATGCTTTTTTATCTTTTGAACTTAAATAATAGAGAATATATTACTCTTATGCATGTTCTATCATTGAATTTAAATTCTTGAAATTATCGTTATAAATTTTGGAAATAATCTAATAATGATCTTTTGATTTCATCATCTCATCTTCAACGACTCTCCTATGATTATTGAATTAAAATTTATAAATATTAAAATTATATCGATTAAAAATACCCTATTGATGTTCCATTACTAAAGTATAGAGAGTTTGAGGGGTTTTATCCTTCGAAAAGTGGAGAATCAGCGATCAATAATTCATTATAAATTGAGTCATAGAATTAAGGGCCTATTGCTTTGAAATCAAATTTAATGCTCACACCAATATTGTTTCTTAATTTAGTAGCTCTTTGGAATCCTTCAATGGTTTTAATACCCTTAGATACAAAACTATAAGATTTAATTGTATTAGGAAATAATGATTTGAATTGTTCAATGTTTTAAGTTAAAATATATTCATCAAGAGAAATCTCATTCTTTTAAACCTCAAGCATGTAATCGCTTCCAATATTTAGTTTAACCATATTTTAAACCATCATTATTTAGCTGTTTACGCTACTGCCTATGCTAATGTAAAATGAAAAGATCATCATTATAATCATACCTAGCTTTTACATTCTGTTATCATTGTTTTTAAAGTTATTTTCAATTGAGGTTTGCAAATTTTTATCCTTTCTACAAAAACAATTCAAAATCACTCTGATCCATCCAAGTTCTAGCCTTCTTTAAACTATATTTAGCAAAAAGCTAATTCCTATATTCACCATCAAGAATGTTAAGTTAACAATCAGTAAAAATAATCCTAATAATTTTAATAATTAGATTAGAATAAATAAATTTAAAATTATTTTCTTTTGATTTTACCTACTTTTTTAGAAACAAAAGCATAAGGTGCAAAATAATATGCCAAAATACCAACAATTATTAGGATTACAGAGTTTATAGTAGCATATAATGAAACTCCATATTTTTCAAGTTTTTATATGATAACTTTGGTTTACTGTATCACTCTTTAGTGAGAATTAATAGCTTGACTCAGTACTTACCTATCAAAAAACTATTTAAAAGGATAAAGATTGCAAAAAAGTGGCAATCCTATACCAAGTAAAACTGTTGTCGCATAATAACTATTACTATAATCTTAGCTGATATCTGTGGAAAATTACAGTAAGCCATAAAAATAATCTTTTATGAATTTTGATACTACTAAATTTAAGAGCTCAGCAATTATCAGTGCTGGAATCATATAAAATATAATCGCCTTTAAAAGAGAAAATATGATCAATGATTAGGTAGAATAGCCTATAATTCTAACAATACCATACTCTTACACTTTTTATTGAATACTAGATTGCGAAACTGAATAGATAATTACAGAACTTAAAGCTATTAGCAGGATAACACCGCAATTATATGAGTTATCTAATATCTATTTTTATTAGAGATTTTTTATCTAAGTTATGGACAAAGGATAAAAGGTTTTAATTGGATAATTCATTCCAAAAACTTCAGAGAATTTATTACTTTATTTTTGTATTTAACTTTTTATAGTTTTTTCTTCAAGGTAAATGTTTTGCTTATCTTTGTAAATTCCATATAAAGTTATCGCATGTTTATTAAAGAAATCAGGGTCAGCATTTTACTTAACTAAAGTGTAAAGTTTTTCATATAGGTATTGATATTTGATATTCAGATATGCGAAGTATGTCACTGAGTGATAAGCCATTCTTTCAGTTAATTACTTAATAAAACTTGAGCATGCTTATTATAATATGTAGTCATATTAGTTTGTGTAGTCTAAGATGACGAAATTCGAAATTTTATCTTCAAACTTTCCTACAGAATTTTCAATGACATCTTTAACTTCTAGATTGAGAGAAAACTTCATATCCATAATAAACATGGCTAATTTTTAGCATAATGCATATTATTTACTGTGATTTAAATTAACAGGTTCGCTATTTTTATCACCTAGAAATCCTTCAATGTTAAAACTATTGATACTGTCCCTTATTTCTTAATCTAGGTTTTAAGAAGGAATGTAATGAAATAGAATATCCTAATATGTATTATAAGTCACTCCATCCATTTAAAACTTTTTTACCAATGATTATGTGATGAATTATACCTTTTAAAAATATGCTTAATTTAGATCTTCATTTTGGAAACTTGGTAGAGAGCTAAGAATCAATCCAAGATTAAAGTCAAGAACAATTTTTTATTTATCTTTTGATGATTTTTTTACTTCTTTCTTTAAAATAGAATTGAGATTTCTGCTGATGTAGCATTCATTTTCTTTTAGTGTAGTCAGGTTAATGCGGCGACCTAATCCTATTTGCTCTTCTTTCAGAATATCGATAAGTAAAACATCACTAAAAATATCTTAGCTATTTATTGTCTACATTCCTTTTAAATAATATCTTGAAGAGCATCCTTTAAGATATTAAGAGCAGTACTGATCATTCACAAGCTTGTAATTGATCATAAAATTGTCCAAACTTTAGTTTCCCATATTTGACTGCGAAATTTCTGGATTGACTATTAAAATATCGCTTTCACCTACTTCTTATTCGCTCATCATAAGGTAAATCATAGGAGATAAACTCATCATTATGTTAATTAATCCAAGAAAGACAATTAACAAAACAATAGTACTAACACTTATCAAATTATTTAATGGCTTTATCTTAAAGTCTCTCAATATGAATTCACTGAAAAACTTAAAATAGTATGCCATCTTTTAAAGAAACTTCAAGTCTCGAATCAAAATAGAATTTGATGGTGATGTACTAGGAATGGAGTTCGAAGTGTTAACTACTTCTTATTCTTCTTTTACTTAGTCTAACACTAAAGCTTCTTCTTAATTCATATCTAATAGCTTTTTATTTACTAAATCTATATTGCTATTATGAACTCCTCCTATCTTATTAGAGTCTAACATCGGAGTTACAGTAAATCTCTCATCTTCTTTTTGAGATTCACTTTCGCTTCTGCTTCGAACTATATTCTACATATAATATTTAAATATTTGTTGAACTATTATTAATTGTTTTCTTATCAAATTAATTAATAAGCTATTTAAAGATTGGTTTGAATCTGTATTATATACATCAAAATTATAAAAATTTGCATTTAAGTTATTTCTGTATTTCACGCAAACGCAAGAAAGTTATTTGATGAGTATTTAAATTATTGCTTTAGTAATATACACTTCAAGTATTTAAATAAATAGGTGTATTTTTATCTTCAATCACTAGTACCACCAAGCATGAATTTATTCTTAATAAATTGTAAATTTTTATTTTGCTAAAAAAATGGTAATTTTTTAATTATTAAAATTCTTTGAGATCATTTTAATTTCTATTTTTTTTAAAATTATATTTAATAATGACAACATTCTTATTCCTTATTTTGTATTGATTGATTTTTAAATTTTTAATAAAAATTAAACAAAATAATTTTTATTTACAATAATCAATTATTTAAGTAAATAAATGATAAATTTAAATGAAAGAATAGAAAATTATTTTTTTTTATAAATTTTTAGAATAAGTTTTATTATTTTAATTAGAATTTTGAATCTTTGACTGAAATAATAAATTGTTATAAAAAATAAATTAATTTATTAATAATTAAATTTAAATAAATGATAATATGGAATAAATTAATTTTACAAGATAAAGAATGAATAGTTTGTTTGTTAGTATTTGATTAACCCGCCTAAATGAATTACTTTTCAATAGAATTAAAAATCAAAAATTTGAAATCAAAAGTAGAATCTAAACCTGTCAGAATATCTTTGATTAATATTAATTAACACTACAAAAATAATTTAAAAGCTAATTAAAAAGTAACATACATTTTTAAATGAATTGCTTTTAATGCAAATAACTCCTAGAATTCGTCTGCTTAGATTGCTCTGAAGAAATATGCAGTACTTGCGATAAGAGACAAAAGCATTTGATTCATGAAAAATAAAAAATTTAATGCATTACTAATAAATGTAATTCCATTAAGGTATAAATTGATGATGAAAAAAAATTTAATGAAATCAAAGAAAATTTGAATTAAAATGTTGAATCTGCAATAAAAGTATTAGAAAATTTATCAGAAATACAATAAAAATTCCAAAAAATGGTGCAGGATGCTGAATACCATTGTGAAATAAAGCGTTTATCGAAGAAATTTACAGAGTCAATTGGAAAAAAAGAAACAGCTCCTTTCTAAAAAGAAACATTAATTAAGATAATATCAAAATCAAAAAAATGTGGATTTAATTTAGGAGATAGTTATTAGGAGAGTAGCTTAACTATAAATTAAATACAAGAATAGCTTAGTAACTAGTAAAAGCTTAGCAAATAGCTTGAAAATGAAATTAAAAAGTTACAAGATAAGATAGAAGGGAATAAGCTACTTTCAATATAAGATTCTAACTAAACTGGAACTGAGTATGATAGAACTGCCTATTAGAAAAGAGAGTCAAACAACAATATATAACAAGAAATTCAATAGGCAACTTCAATAAATACTAGATCAACAAGGAAAAGAAAAGTTGATAATTAAGATTTAGTATCTCCTATTAGTAAATAAAATGTAAGAGAAGATTTATCAACTCTAAAATTAAATAAAATGGAGAATGCCACTTAGCTATGTAAAGACTCATCTTCTCCATTATTGATTAAAAAATTAAAAAAAAATCTATAATAACTTTATTGAGTAATTTAATAATTTATTTAATTCATATTTTGATTATTTATTTTTAAATTAAAATAAAAATTAGTAAATATTTAAAATTTATTTCTATTTAAATAATATATTTAATATATTAATATTAAGAGTAATTAATTTATATCTAATTTAAATTCAAAATAAAGAAATTCATATTTCAAGAGAATTAATTACTTTTATTTATTTTTTCTCTGAAATATTATTTAAAATTAACTTTATATTTAAAATTATTAAAAAATATGAGAAGAAGATTAAATAATTTACTTTCTATTACTGATCTAATATTATTAATTCTATAGTAAATAATTTAATTATGGTCTATTTATTAATTTGTTATTATAATCTTTTTACAATATATTTCCACTTAAATTTTTATTTAAAATAATTTATTTGCTTTCCTTTTTATTCATTATAAATAATATATTTAAGGTTTAGCTTAAATCTACTATTTTTGATAAAAATAATTGAAATAAATTTCTTTATATTTATCATTTAAAATTTTGAAAATTCATTTAAAAAGCTTTTTAATATATAATATAGCTTCATTAATTATCTAAAAAAATTTAAATGATTTAGATAACTTTAAATGATAATTGCTTAATTAAATATAAATATATTTCATCAGTAATCATAATTTTATTAAAAATCCACCTCTTTAAGCATTATAGATTATTACATTTTTACTATTCAAAACAATAGATAATTTTTTAATTTACCTTTTGATTTGCTAAATTTTATTTTTTTTATAAAAAAATAATTTTGTTAAAATAGAAACTTGGAAATGTTTTAAAAAATAAACTTTCTTTAATCAATTGGCAATTAAATTTTAATATCATTTATTAAATGGATGGATTTTTCATTTTGGTATTTATATCAGTAAAAAATTTTCCTCTGATGCTTTCCACTTTAATAAATCTCTTAAATCTTTTCTAAAAAAAAATCATAAAAAATTAATCCAATAAAGTGAATATTTGTAATTAGTTAATTTTTTACACAATGCATTCTTTCATTTTTTAATAACAATAAAAAGTTTTTTAATGAACTGAAAATATATTAAACATAAATAATTTTTAAGCTATAATAATTTTGATATTTTATGTCAATAAACTAAATTAAAATATATAATTCATTCTTTTTTATAATTAATTATTTTATATATATTATTGAGCGATCATTAATTATTTTTATCTAAATTTAATACTGACATTATTAAAAAATTACATATATTATAAAGAAAATAGGTTTTTATTGCAATTATTATTTATCGAATATATAGATTATATTTTTAAAAATGCAAATTTTATCAATCAAAGTAATTAGTAAACATGTTAATAAACTTTGTTACAATTATAAACAGGTATTTAGTTAAGTGCAATTTGTTTAAAATCAGTATTTTTAACAAACATCTGCAGCTTGAAATAAAATTAAATAGGATATATTAGGATGAAACAAAAAATACAAAAATTATATGAAGCACTTCACCACAATCTAAAATTTATATATTTGCAACCAAAAAAAAATGTTTACTAAAGTAACAAGTAGAATATTAAATTAGAACTAAAGAGTTAGTAATATAAATTAGTACAAACATACTGACTAAAAGTTCTTCTTTTGTAATCTTCGAGTAATTTTATGCTGAATTAGTAAATAAAAACTCTATAATTACTTACTTTATATGTATGAGTTTTCCCAAAATTTTATCCATTTATTTAAAATAATTTAATAATAGTTATATGGTTAATTATTAATCAAAATTAAAAATCAAAAAAAATCAAAAAAATTAAGATGCCTTAATTAATTAAAAATCTCATCTATTCAATAGAAAAATTTGATCTATTTGGATAGGGAGTAGGAATAAGATTTAAATAAAGGTCATGTCATAAAACGAAATTAGGAGGGCTCGCTACTTTAGTTATATGGGGCTTAATAATTTACTAATCATATTATATCCTTTATGAGCTTATTTATTAGGAAAATCCTACTGTGATTCAGTAAACAAACTATGTTTATTAGTAAGAGGCTTTTTAAATAACACCTAAAAGCTTTATAATCGCTTTGGGAATATAAGATTCGAATTATTAGCATTACTTTGGAGACGGTATTTATACAGTAAAAGCATTCTAAAATGTAATTAATAGAAATGAAACTGATATTTCAGGAACAAATCAAGACTCTTCTTCTAAATAATATGAAATTAAATTAGAACGTTGTAGTGAAAGACATTTTTAAATTGAGGATTCTAAACAATATTTTATGCATCTCCCTTACTAAGAAATGTATTGTCTTTCGATTGAAAATAATACTCCTTATATATAAGGAGAATTTTCAGCAAATGCATATGCCTCAATCGAGTTTTAGTTTTCTAAATGCCAAGGTTCAAACTGTTAAAATTAGACAGTAATTGATTAAATGCTGTCAAGAGCTACTCTTGCAGTTTATATCTCAGATACATTTATTAACATTAAAGAAAGGAAAAAACCTTTTTAATCAACTGGGAAGAATTTATTTTGGACAACAGGACCAAACTTTGAAAAGGATATATTTCTATCGCTTATTAACTCCAAAGTAGTAAGTGACTATTCTAGAATTACTTCTAGTTAGTAAATTACTCAAACAATATCTTATTCGTCTGATAGAGAAATAGTTCTACCAAGCACCTCAAATATTTTATTTGATTTTACAGTTGTCTATGAGAAAAACAAAGAAAACGTTTATTAGAGGAACTATATGAAACTTGGTAATGCCTTTTCTTAGGTTGGAGGATTTTACAATTTCCTTTTGATGCTTGGGTATTTAACCTTAAGACGATTTTCATAAGATGACTTAAATCATAAACTTTTAAATGAGGTATTCGATATAAAGAAGAAGTCAAATTAATAATAATAGGTAATTAGAGAAAGAAAATAAGGCGATGCTATTAAAAATTTCATTCAAACCAAAATTGAATCTTAAATTATTTGCTAAAAAACTGAAAAAAATACTCCTACTAATTTAGCTAACAATACTCTAACTCCTAACTTCAAAAAAGATGAAAGTAATTAAAATGGATAAGTATTTTTTAACAACATAAGCACAAAAGTCAATTAAGATGATCAAGGTGAAGAAAGTTAGCCTCAAATGAAAAATATTAAATTTAATTTAATAAAATATTTATGGAATACATGGAAATGCTGGGGTTGCTGTAGATCTACTGAATCTAAACTTATAAATTATGCTTCGAATAAGATATTCGATCATTTAGATTTATTGAACATAATTAAAAAGTTAATAGAGGTTGATAAGCTAAAACAACTTTTACTTAATGAAGATTAAATAAAATTGTTTGAATATCTTCCAAAGCCTGTACTCATCATAGATGACTATAAAAATAAAGTAGATGATTAGTCTAAATTTGTAAAAGAAAATAAAAAAGAACTTTCGTCTCCAAATCAATAAATGGATAGGAAATAGTCTTTTGATAGTGTTAAAAAATCATATTTCAATATTATTAGAAAGAAAGCTAGATCAATAATAGATAAAAAAATTTTGAAAATGCTTGATCCTGAAGTCAAAAATTAAATCAAATAAGAAGATTTTCAAAATTAGACAAATTTAAATCCAATTATAACTTTGTAAAATATTTAAGCCAAAGATAAAATTAGCTAGCCATCAGAACTCAATGATCAATACGAAGAATCTATAAGCAAGTTAGATGATCTAAACGATATTTTTTAACCCAAAGATTTAAGATGGAATTAGATAAAATCTATTACAACTATAAATAAAAGTCAAAAACTACTTAAAATTAATAGTCATAATACATCAATTATGATAGATGAAAGCAAGTAGTATATTAATTCATACAACCAATCAAATAATTTGTGAAAAATTTATTTATTAAATTGTAAAATATTTTCTTCAATCAAAAAATATTTTTAAGTTAATATCCATTTATTTATTTATTTATTTATTTATTTATTTATTATTTTATTCATTTATTCCATTTTGAATTCTAAATCTTTTAGAAGATGATTAAATATTTTCAAATTAATCAAATAAACTTTTCTAAATAAAAAATAAGAAATTTCCCTTTTAATTAATTTAATAATTAAACTAGTAGAAAAAATATTAACAAAATAATCTGTTGATCATTTTTTTATAAAATGATAAAGAAAATGAGAAATTAATATTATTAAATTAGAACAATTTATTTTGAAAATTAATTTTAGTAAATAAAGTATTTTTTATAGATAAGTCAATTTATTTACTTATTTTTTCTAATTAATATTTTTACAATTATTATAAAGTGATGTAATTTTTGTTAATTAATTGGTTAAACGTTTAAAAATTAGAAAATCATTGGAGCCTTTTAGTTTTCTTTAAACTATATTTCAGAAATTTAGTATTTTTTATGAGATAAAAATTATAAATTTTTTGATGGTTGGCTTGGATTCTTTAAAAGATATAAATATTAAAAAAATTAATTGCAATATCAGTTTAATATCAAGTATTAAAGAAATTTACATAATTTTCAAAATAGGAAAGATAAAATGTAAACAGAGTAAAAATATAACACTTAAGTAATGAAGTCTTTAGTATCTAACTTTTCATAATCTAGATAGCAGTATGTGATATTAAGTTTATGATGATTTAAATGAATATTTTTTAACATATTTGTAGAATGTAGGAGAAAAAAAATGTTTTGGATAATATGGACAAAATGAAAAAGACATTTGATTAAATTGGTAGTATGTTGAATGGATAGGTAATTAAATCTATAAAATTATTTTTTATATGCATTTTAAATCTATTATTCTAATTACCAAGCTTCTTCTATTCAAAATAGCTAAACTATATCAAGAATTTCAATAGCCAAGCAAATAACAAAGGAGATGGAGAAGATAAACATTTAGAATTTAAGAGATATTGTGAGAAATTTTTGGATATAATGAAATAGGAGTTAATTGATTTATTGGGAATTATTAAACTAAATTTTAATCCATAAAAGAAAGATGTAAAAGCTGATTTGTCTTGGGAAAAAATGCAGTTTTCAATTGAAAATGAGATTGAAAACGTTAGAAATTCCCTCAATTAAAGTAAATTTTTAGAACAAAAGGAAAAAATAATATGAATTTCGTATTAAAAGGTACAAACTACTTTGAAATCGTATTTAGGATGATAAATATCAAAGATGGTTTAGTTTCATAAATTATAAGATCTCTTTTGTATAGAAAACTAGTAAATATATAAAGCTTTAATCCTAACAATAATCTAATATTAATTTTGCTTTTAATTATTTATTTTTAACAGATATTTTGATTATTTTAAATAAATAAATAGGTTTTATGGAGAGATATGAATATGACTATGGATGAATATGTACACGCTTAAATAAAATATATAATTGATTGGATCAAATTTTAAAATGAAAAGTATAACTATATACCTACTAAACCAGAATTCAAAGAAATTAATTTTAAAATGGATGGTCCTTTTTAAATTTTGTAGAATATACAGACAACAAATTAAAATCAAAATTAAACATTTTAATATGGATAAAATAAAAAAAATACAAACCAAGATGAACCAAGCACTGCTAAACTAACAGTTATGTTGAAGATATTTACAGAAAATTTTGATGAAATGATAGATAATTTGAGAGATTATGCAAAACTTAATGAAGAGGCTGATAGATTCGTAGATGTCAACTAAAACTAAGTTATAGTTAGATCTTTAAGAGGAAAAATAGAAACCTTAACCAAAAATAATGAAGCTTTATAGCAAAAATATTATGAAATTCAATCAAATATCAGGTATTTATTTACTTCTTATATAGAATAATTAATTTTATTTATGTTTAATATTTTTTTGATAAACATAGAACTTAGGATGCCAACGAGGTAAAAAAATTGAAAGACCATAACGAGGAATTGCAAGTAATAGTTTTTGAAATATTAAAATACATCTTAAAGTAAAATTAAAATAAATAGATGATAGTGGCAAGAAAAGAAAGAGAAATAGAAGAATTAAGAAAAAACACATAAGGAAGTTTGAGCTAACTATAAAACTTAAGAGATAAATTGAAAGAAACAGAGGAAGAACTTAAGCAGGTAAATAAAGTCTTTCTTCCAAAACTGAAAGAGTTAGAAGCTATTTAATATACACTCCAAGACGAATTCCAAAAAGTCAAAAAAGATATAGATACATATGCAATACTTTTTAAGTAATCTAATCTAATCTAATCTAATCAAATCAAATCATTATTGTTTTTTGTTTGTTTAGAAATTTTGTTATTAATTGATTAATTTTTTAATTTAAATAGATATGCTTTTAATATATTTTAAAATCAAATAATAGGACAGAATCTTAAATGAGATCAAAAGTTTAAATAGAAAAGAAAGAAATTGAAGCTTAGGTAGCAAAGCTAGTTGATATGTTAGGAAGAGAAAAAAATAAAGTGAAAGATCTAAAGGGAATTATACATTAAAAGGAGGAAATTATTATGGAAGTATGTTTATATACTTTTAAAATTATTTGTTTTATCTATTTATTAATATAAAATTTAAAGGTTATGGATTATAGATAAGAGCTTTTAAATTAAATAAAAGAATTATAGAGCTAAAAGCAAGATATTTAAATAGAAAACTTACAACTTGAAGAACATATTACAGAAATCAAACAGGTAATTTCATTTAAAAAATATCTTAAAATAATAATTTATTTATTAATAATTTAACTAAAAGGAACTTTCGAACAAAAAATATGATGAAATGTTTGAAATCAATACACACTTAAATAAAAGAATTAATGAATTAGAAGACCATAAAAAGAAATTACTTGATCTACTCAAAAAGCATAAAATAAATCCTGAGTCAACTTTATTTAATGTAGAATAATTAAAATGAGTATAAATAAATAATTTTTATGAAATAAATCTTGCTTATTTATATTTAATGCACTAAAAAAAAGTTAACTTAGCTATTTTATTTATTCAAAATATTAAAAATTTAATATTAATAAAAATTAATCATAAATGATTTTAACAATTATGATATGATACAAGAAACATCTGTTTTTATTCTAAAAAAATGTAAATGAAATTTTAAACTGATAAATATAATTTATAAATGTTTGGCCATTAAAAATTAATTTAATTATTGATAGTTTATTGAAAATTTTAAATATAAAAATATGTACAAAACTTTTTTTGTAGGATATAAATAATTTTTTTTACTCTATTAAACTAATAATACATACTGCAGATTTTATATTCTTAATAATTTATTCATATTTGTTTTAATTTTTTTATAATATTGGAATATATTTATTAATAAAATATATAAATTAACTTTAAATTACATTTTTTAAATAAATAAATAATTTTTTTCTTTAAATTTAAATGCTTCTTTTAATTTTTTATTACTTTTCTATTTTAAATAAATCTATGGAAGGTAGTTTTGAGATATTTATCTATTCAGTTTAAAAAATCTATAGACATTTTTTATATCCTTATATTTGCAGTTTAAGAAGGATTATAATTATTAAACTCTTTATTGTATATAGAAATATCTTTTGAAAAATCAGTCAATTTTATATGAACTAAATATTCATTTTTATGCTTATTTTTAAGGCTAAACTATTTAGGCTTGGTTATTGTTACTTTATTTTTGTTTTTATTTTTTATCTACTTTTGGCTTTCCACTAAAGCAGCACATAAAAAAAGATGTTTTTTTAGGTTTTTCTTGCTTACTTTGTATTTCTATTGCTGGTTTTTACTCTTTATTTTAAGATTTCTTTTCATCTTTATTATTTTTAGAACTTTTGCACTCGTGTGCATCTTCGTATCTATGTGTCAAACATACTCTTGTCTTGCAAATTTCACAAGTAAATTCATTTACAATAGAAAGCACATTTTTACATCCTTTAACAGGGCATTTTGGAGCTTTATGAGCATTATGAATATCAATTTCCTTTTTTTAAGCATGCAATTTTTCGCAATTGTGATCTTATTAGTATCTATGGTTTTAACAGAAATTTTTGTTGCATTCTGAGCATTAAAAAGGTAAAAAATCTAATTAGTTGCAATCTTTAACTGCACAATGTTTTCCTATTTCCATTTTTATATTATAAAGAATTGATAAAATTATTAAATTAAATAATTTATAAGCAATCAAAATCAGTATATTTTAATTTCTTAAAATTATCAATTAACATATAATAGACATTTTAAATTAATTATAATATAGAAAAATTATATAAAATTTTCTTTTAAATGTCTATAAATTTTTATTTTTTTCTGAACAAAAGTTTCTAAAAATAGATGAATTTATAAATAGTTTTAGAAACATTTAATAAATGTTTATTTTAGAATTAATTTATTATTTAAATTAAAAAGATAAAAAAGGTAAATTTGATAAATTAATGATATTTCTGATTAATTTTAATTATTTTAGTTTTTTAACAATAATTGAAAGAAATTTACATTCATAAATTAATTTTTATCAAGCTATTAAGTAAATTACAATCGTTATTCTAATTACATCCCTCTCTTTTTCTAGAAAATTTTTTATTTTACTTGTCTTTTTAATAGGGGCTTCATTAGAAAAGACTTACATTTTATTTTTAGCATGGTTTAGTATATAATAACTATTCTTATTTTAGTAAATAATACTTAGCTATTCATCTATTATACTATTTATGATCCTTTTTATTTCTAAATTTTAAAAACATTAATCTAAAAGCTTTAAAATTTTTATAATAATCAAAATATTTTTATTACTCGATTAAGAATATAAATTTAAAAAATAATATATTTATATTCATGTAATATTCTATAAATAAAATTGATACTTTCTCTTCTTTTATTATTTTTTGAAAATTTAATTAAGGATTATTCATTTACTTATTTTAAACAATTAAAGAAAAATTGATAACAATATTTAAATTAATTTGTTCCAAAATTGTGTTTGTTTAAGAAAATAATTTCCTAAAAAGTTTAAAAAACTGATGGGAAGAATGATTTTAATTGTGTTATTTTGAAATTTTCTGTTAATAAATTTTGAATAAATAATTAAAATACTATTTAGTTAAAAAAAGGTTAATAGTAATATTAATAATAATAATAAATAAAGGTAACTTTTAAATCTATTTAGATTGATCAATATATTTTGTTTATTATTTAAAAGCTATATACATAATTTTTTGTCAATTAAAAAGAAAATTTGTTTTGCTTTATTATTAGAATAAGGAATAGAATTCAATTATATAACATACTAAATTTTAAGGTAGTAAAACAAACATGATTCCAGCAAATAATAGCTTAGTTAAATATTCAACTCCAGTTTTGGTTTCTGTTGCAGGAAAAAAAAAAGATATTAAAAAGAAGCCTTCTTAAACTGGGCCTTCTGGAGCTAATGCAAATTAGTCTTAGATGATTAACTAGACTTAAATGTAAGAAAAGAAGGAAACACACAGAACAGAAGATATATTATCATAGATTTTACCTCCAAAAGAATATACATTAGAAAATGGATAATTATGGATACAAACAGTTCTTTCAACACCTGCGACAAGAACTGAAGTTATTTAACTTTAAGAAGATCTTGATCGCAAATTATAATAAAGATAAGCTAGAGAAACAGGTTAATATTTAGCAATTTAATATATAAATGTGCTCAACATAAAAAAATATATATTATTTAATATTAATGTAATCAAACCAACAACTTTTGGTTATAATAACAGGTATATGCCCAATTAGAGAAGAACTTTACGAATAATGCTTTGATGAATTAATTAGATAAATTACTATAGATTGCAGATAAAGAGGTTTATTGCTTGTTAGAGTAAGGGATGAATTCAAAAATTAATTAGAAGCTTATAAAACTTTGTACGAATCCTCAATCGCTTATGGCATGAGAAAAATGATTGATTCTGAATAAGTAATTAGCTTTTTAAAATAACTTTATGAGATTATTTATTTATTTATATAAAAATAAATAAACAAATCAACAAATTCAAACATTTAAAACTATTAAAAAAGAAAAAAACTGATATGAGAACTCAAATAATGTAATTAGAAAGGGAGTGTGAAGAACTTAGCAAAGCTGTGGATGAGCTTGAAGAAAAGATATCTTTTACCAAAAAGAATGAAAATGAAAAATTAAACAATGAAAATGAAATACATAGAGTTGAAACAGAAAAAATCAAATAAAATAACACAAAGCTAAAAGAAGAATTACAAGCTTTATTGGAAGGAAAGAAGTGATAAAGTCAATCACAATTTAGTGCAATAGTGAGATTAATAAATGTAAAAAAGAGAAATATATTTATGCTAAAAGCTATTTACGTTATATCAGTTAGAATTAAATAAATGAATAATAACTTCATAAACTTACTATTTGAATAATACTTATATATATTTGAATATGCATACATATTTTGTATAATAGTTTTTAATTTATAAATAAATAATTAGTAACTTTAATTTGTTAAATCTTTATCTCTCTTTAACAAGTTTAATTAATTTGCTATATTTATTAAATAGCAGCTGAAATAATTTAATTTTTATTATAATTTTGAAAAAAATTAAATATTTTAGAATATTTATTTATTTTTCTAATCAAAAACAGCCACACTTTGATTTATTCTTCTTAGCAGCAAGTTAGGCTTCCTTTTTATATGTATAAATTAACTTTTTTTCTAAAATTAAAGAAACTTACTTTAAGTTAGATTTAAATCTTCATCAACTCAGCCTCCTTAGCTTGGAGTTATTATTCAAGTTTCTGATTTTCTTCTGTTGCATTATTTGCTTTCTTTTTACTAAAAATATAACAATTTTTAATTAAATGTACAAAATTTTTATAATAATATTTACAGCACGTCCATCAAAGACTTATTGTCTTTTTCTGCTTGTTCGTAATTTGCTATTTATGATTTTAAAGTTTCAACTTACTTTTTATATTCTGCAACAGCCTTTTTTTTTAATTTAAATTGAATTATTATTTTTAAGAGCAAAAATTATTTAATTTACATTCGTTTTTTAGAGTTCTGCATTTTTCTTTGTATCAGCTAGCTGTTGCTTTAATGTTTAAATTTAAGCCTATAGCTCTTCTATTTCCTAAGCATGATTGTTACCAGTAGCTAATCTTAGTAATTATTCATGTAAAATATCTGGGAAGTATTATGAAAAGATCTCCATTTTGTTTGACCCTTTGCCTTCTTAATTATACCTTAAAATCGCCCTATTTATAAAAAAAAGAAAAGATAAAATTAAATGTTAAGCTAGTTATTTTTTTCATTCATTACTCTTTCACTTTTTGAGCAAATTCTTCTATGTTTTCTAAATCAAAGTGCTGAGCATTAAAATCATTATGCATTTCTATCAATATCTCCTAATTTCCTCTATATATTTTATATCAATTTTCAAAAAATAAGTCTTTCTTTAAATAAAATAAAATAATTTAATACGTATCAGCAAAGGTATTATTTTCTTATTCTATCATTTTCTCTTAGTTTTATATTAAAAGCTCAAGTTTCTGTTTGTAATCTGTGTAATACTCATTTTACTGTTTTACAGAAATACCATCTTCAAAAATTTTAGTGGCATACTACCTTAGCTTCTTAATATTTTCTTCTATTTGCTTTTATGTGAACGTTTTTTCGTCAGAGCTGAAAAGCTTTATTTTCATCTTATTTTTTAAAAAGTTAATTTGAATATTTTTAAGTTTAAAAAAAATAAATTCTAACTTCTTGATAGGCTTGAATAGCTTTTTCATAACTAACTTAAGCTTCACCCTCTAAAATATTATCCCATGCAGATTTTATATCTGGGACACCATCTTTCTCATTAATCTAATCAACATACTTTTTAATAAGTTCTACGAATATTGCTGGTTTTAATATATTTCCTTCCATCATTTTTGGGTCTGCCATTTAAAATATTTTAGTTCTTAATGCATTTAATTCTCTTTAGAATTATGGTCTTAATCTCTCTAATGCAAGATTGTCTAAATTTTTAAGATCTTCTTCTGAAGTAGCAGGTCTAACCATTGTAAAACACTCTCTTTAGCGGAAAAATTATAATAGTGCTTCTCTAACTCTTTTACTGATTGGGCTTTGCTTCTAAATGGAGGTCTTTAAATAAAATTTTTTCAATTAAGCTCAGTAAAAATAAAAAATTTTACTTAGTCAGTCAAGCAATTATGGAGATATTAATTAGGAGTTATTTATTGTCCATTAGAATCAACTACTTCTAAAACAAAATCTCTTAATAACCAAATAAATTTAGGAGTGTATTCGCTTATTAATTTGTCATTTTATGATACATTATTAGTTACTTGAATATTTCTAGAGATTTATGTAGTTAACTATAATTCCTATATTGACTTGTCATCAATAGCGCCTACACTATTATAGACAAATAAACTTGATATCAACAAAGCTAAAGAAAATATTTTTGCATCATGTTTCTTATTTCCTTCAACACTTTTATTTCCTTCAGTGTCAATAAAGAATATTTATTTATTATCTTAAGGGACTGGCCTACTCCACATCCAAATACCTTATGTGCAGCTCTAGGTTGAAGCATCAACTTTAAACTAATAAAATAAAAGAAAGTTAATATATTTTTATTTAAGAAAAAACTGATCATTTACTCCTTTTCCTTTAATATTTAGCAGCTTATTTAAAATAAAAGACTTTCCTGTACGATATTTACCAGCTACTGAAACAAAACTTATTGGATCATCATATAGCTTGATAATAGATAGAGCTTCCTGATTTAAAAAAAATTTATCCTAATTTGCATCATATGCTATAAGCTAAATTGGCTTTTCAGGAACTTAATCTATCCTCTATTTATATTATAAATAAGTAAATTTTATTTTGCAATCAACAGATTAAAATTATAGTTTTGCTATGTGCTTTATAGATAGAAGATTTATACATATTGTATAATTTTAAAAAAGTAATAATGAAGTTTGAGAATTAGCTTATTTACTTGATAAACTATAGGAGCACTTTAACCTTAAAAATCAAAACTTGCAGCATAAAAAGGTTTTTAATTAGAATCTTGAAAGAATTCATCTTCTTAACCTTTATCAATGTCTCTATTCTTGTATAGCTCTTAGTTCTTACCTGAAACATATATATTATCATATTTCTTGCCGCTTTATTATTGGTTTTCTTGAGCTGCATTTTATGTGTTTCTCTGGTTTGAATTCACCTTATTAACAACCATTTTATTTCTATAAATATTATCTTCTTATTCTTCTGCCTCAGAATCTGAAAAATTGACCTAAAATCCATTTTATCCACCAGCTTGAGCTTATGCATTATTATATTAAGATTGAAATGGGTCCCTCACCTAATACTAACCTATGACAAATAAGTAAATTAAAAAACCTTTTATTAATTTTATTATGCTTACTAGCATATTAGCTTCCATACTAATTTGATTGAACACCAAACTAATTATATTGACTTTAATAATAACTCATATTTAAGCTAATAAATAGACTTATGCTTTGATATAAATTTTATTTTAAGACTGGTTTAAAATTTTTGATACAAAAAACTTATTAATTTTTTTCTAAAAAATTGATATTTATTTCACAATTTTTATTCAGTAGATTTTGTAAAATAAAGTGAATGAATATCTTATAAAAACTAAATAAGGAATTCTAACAAAGATAAATAGCATTATTTTTGAATTTCTCAAATAGATTTGAGGGTTATCAAACAAGTTAAGATAAGTAGTTATCTATTGTATTAATTAATTATCTATAACAAATAATGTTTAATAATTTGCTGAACAATTAAATGTAATAATGAAAGTCTAAAAAAAATAAATTTCATTTTTTAATATAATATTTAATCTATGAAATCAATGAGAATAGTCTTTAACAATTTTTAGAAAACGAAAGATACTAATTTAATTTTAAAAGAAAAAAGTAAATACAAGTTGGTAGATAGGGTTGAAACAATTATATATTTTTTAATTAGATTTATATTTTGTTACAAAATTAATTTTTAATTTTGTAAAATAATTTAAGAACAACAAACAATCAGTATTTATTAGATTGAATATTTTAATTTTCTTTAAAGAATTAGTTAGCTATTTACATGGAATTTTATTATTAAATCAATTTGCATATCTTTTATTCTTATTTTTAAAGTAAGGTTGTTTTTTGAGAGATTCTAGATTGTCAAAATCATAGTTTTATTCACCTTCGTTTTATAACCCAGAATCTTCTTCTTCATCTTAATTATCATCATCTTCCTCTATTTCATTTGGACTGATTGTTATTTTTTGTTCTTAATCTTTATTTTAAATTTAATTTTTATTGAAATAAGCATTTTCCTCTAACTAGTCATCATCATCTTCTTCATCTCCTTGATCTTAGTCATTGTATTCTATATTAAATCTTTCCTCTGGAATGTTATTTTAGCTATCTTCTTCATAATTATCATCAACAGCTGCTTCATTGTTTTCTTTAATTAATTAACTTTTAGAATCCTTTTAATCAACTCCCTAGCTTTCAATTTTATTGCTTTTATTTTCAATATTGCTTACATTTTACTAATTATCTTGCTTGTCTTTGATAGATTCTATAAATTTTTCTTATTTTTGATTTTTTAAATTATTTTTATTACTTTATAAGTTTTATTAAATAGTATTTTTAGACATTTCCATCATTTTTATAAATTCTTGTCTTTGTTTTTGCTAAGGTGTTAAATCTGATTCCTACTATTGTATTTGATTTGAAATAGGACCACTTTTATCTGAGCTGTTTGATTTGAAAAATTTAGGATTTTGCATTTATTAAGAAAGCTGTTTGCTTTGCTAAAGTAGTAATTCTTTAGCTCTAGCACGATCAGAAAAATCAATAACCTCCTTTTAAGGTGGAATTTATTTAGATAGCCCATAGCAATCTTCCATAGGTTCGTTTTCGTAATCTTCGTCCTCATCTTCATCTTCATGATTATAATCTTCGTTGTTGATATTTTAATTTATTAGCTTTGTTTCATTATTTATAGTATTACTAAATAAATTTGTGACAGCAGGATTTTTTTTAATTGGTTATGTTCCAAGATCTTTTGCTTTTTAAGAATAATCAGCCTATTAATTTACTTCTAACGAGTACTATTCTGGTGAATTATCACTTTCAATAACTAAGCTTTCAGGTTTATTACCTTTAGCCTTTTGGAGTTTCTCACTTTCCATTTTCAATGATAGTTCAGCTTATTGTTTACTTTTAATTTTATTCTAAATTAGTTTATTTTCTTCCTAGTATCCTTCCTCTTCTTCCTCTTCATCAAAATTTTCGTCATTATCATTAAATCCGCTTAATAAATTCAATTATTATTGTTTTACTTTTTCTTATTATTACTAATCAACAAAATTCAACATTTCAGTTTGTTTAGATTCAAGATAAGTCTGCATTTCTTTTTATTTGGACTCTAATTCAGCCTACATTTCTCTTTGCTTCATAATGCTTTAGAGCTTATTACTACTCTCTTATAGTGAAAATTTATCTTTCAGACTCAGGCCTACTGATCCATTTTTATTTGCATTTTAAGTTTAAGGTTATTATGAATTTAATTATTGGGAAGCTTGAAGCAATGCCGACTTACCAGAGTCACTATTATCAGAACTGTTTTGAGGTAATTTATCACTAATTATACTTTATTTTTGATCCTAATTATTATTACTTTGCTCTGGCTCAAAAGATTGCTAAATAGTATTGGAAAAAGGAGGAGAATAATCTTGTTCATCTTCATCTTCTTCTTCATATTCAAAATAATCTACACTTTTTTTCTTCTTCTCTTCTTTGCCTTCTTAAATGATTTAAGCCTAGTTCAAAGCTTTTTGTTCTTATATCTTTTCTTTACTTTCACTTCCCTACTTTTGAAAGCTATTTTAGAAACCAATCAAACCCCCTTATTTTTCTTTTATAAATTACAAAGTATTAGTAAGAGATTAAATTAATTTTAAAAATATTTACTCTAAGCAAAGTAATTGTCAGGCTAGAAGGATTTTTCAACAGAAACAAATTTTTTAAATTCTTTGTTGAGCTTATTGTTAGAGGCCATATACTTAATTTCAACATCAGAAGGAGGCTTATTTTTTTAACAGTGACTACTAAAGAAATCATTTTCAACTTCATCTAGTTTTAACTCAACCTTTTTGATTAAATCATCACTATATGATATATTTAACAATTCTCTAAGTTAATTATTTTCTACTATGAGTTGTTATATTATATTTTAATTTTCATTAACATGCTACAATTCTTCTTCTATTCCTTTCTTGATACTTTCTTTCAATTTTTCAAATTTACTTTTCCATATTTTCACCATTTTTTCGAGGTTTTTATTTTACTCCTATTTATTAGAAAAAAGAGAAACACTTAAATAATAATTTCAGACTAAAATAAGTAAAAAATAAATATAAATAATGTTTACCTATTGTATTTTGTGTGAATGGTTGATCTTTATATATTCTGCTTTTAATTTATCATAAGAAGATTTTATTACAACATCTTACTCTTAAATTTTTTTCTTCAATGCTTCTATTACCTTCAAGCTATCCATGAAATTATTGTATATTACTTAATTGTCTTCACATAATTAATCTATTGTTTATTTTAGAAATTTAATTTCTAATCTTTCTGCAATTGTAAGAGGTTATTATTCCTTAAGCTATTATTGTTATTATTCCTTAAGCTATTATAGTTATTGTTGTTGCTGCTACTGCTATTACAAAACAGACGATAACTAATCTTAGGTTGATACTTATTATTATTACTACTACTAATTCTGTAACTACTGATTTTGCTATTATTATTGCTATTGTAATTCTGAAGCATCCTGCTTTTTGGTTAAAGCTATTGAAGAGGATAGAGCTTCTTCTTTTGAGTTTTTTTAAGAATTTTAATAAACTCCTTGAGTTTGTTAGGCGTTCTCATTGAAGCTCTTGCTTACAATCATAGAATTTTAAGATAAATTAGCATCATGCTGAATACCATTATTATATGAATTGAGCTCTATTATGTCATCTCCTGCAAAATCCATAGTAACATCGTGCAATTATTTTACTTAATTCCCAAACGAATTGCTTAGTTTGATGCTATGATGACTATCGTAAATAGCAGATCCATTTATAAAATTCTTATTAATTCCATTCATTGTTGAATTATTAAGCTATTTAGTTGCATTTAAATTTCCTTATTATAATTTTGTATCAGGATTCTATAAAAAAATATTATTATTTACAAAAGATTTGTCTCTAGGCACAGGACTATGATTAGAAAATAAGTGATATCTTTGGCTAGCTGAAGGGGCACTCCTTCCATACTACATATAATTATAGTAATCTAAAGAATTATCGTGCTCTAGAATCATACTATAGCTAGGGTCAAAGTCAATTTAATGAGCCTACTAATTGTAAAATTAAGGATTCATCTAATCTTGAAAAAAATTTTATCTTTTAACTTAGAATTATTGTTAAAATCTCTCATTCTCTTAGTTATATTAATCAAATTAGCTTTGATAAGGACTAATAGGACCATTTACAAACTATCTTTTAGAACCTTGTCCAACACTCCTTGCTCTTTTATTCATATAATCTAAGTTCTTAAAATCTGATTACGGCTAAAGTAAAATTTATTATGATTACTACTATAATTGCTACTGCTATTGTTAATATTTTGTTACATTTTATTGCTACTATTAATTGCTAATCTAATTTTTTATTTCCATTAATGCTTGTCTAACTTGGCCTAAATTCCTAAAGAACCCATAATCACTAGGTTGAGTAGATGTTTCTATCATGTTTTTATTAGCAAACTAATAGACTATGTATTATTTTTTACCCTAATTAATTATTTAGCTTTTATAAATTTGCTGTTCCTTTGTATAGTCGGTTGAAAAATTGAACAAGAAATTATTACAATTAAAATATTTACAGTTAATGATAAACTTTTTTAATTTTTGATTAATAAATAATATAAATTTTTTTTTTGAATTATCTGTGTATTAATTAATTAAATTATATGATTGGAATTCAATTTTTTGATAAATTTTATGAAATTCAAATTTTTAATTCATCTGAATACCAATCCTATCTACATATAATTACAAAGCTAGAAAATTTCCAAGGGATTAGACTTAAAATTAATCAGCAATCCTAAATAAATTAAATAGCTATAATACACTAAAGTAAACCTCCAAAATATTTAAAAGATTCAATTTTTTGGAGTTTAGATAAATTAATCAATTTTTTATTTATTTTTAGTTAATACATTTTTAAGAATTTATTTTTATTATTTATAAAATTGTAAGAGTAATTTTCTATTTTATCAATGACATTTAATTTAATTTATATCTATATAATATTGATTGTATCAAATTTGATAACTTTGTGTTTTATATTAGATGAGCTAAAACAGATGTTTATTAGTAAAATTTTATTATTAGATAAAATAAATTAATTTATATTTTAATTAGTTTTATTAAAAAATTTACTATCTTGATTTAATTTTTTACTTAATTAGAATTATAAAATTGAGTATTAATCTATATTGATGGAATCAGAATTGCTAACTTTGTGAACATTTTTGATGAAGTGAATTAAATTCACATTTATTTCTTAAAAAATAGTAAAATTCTATTTTTAAAAATTTTTAAAATATTCTGTTTTTATTTTAACTTACACATATATTTTCTTTTAAATATATAAATATATCTTTTATTTCATTTAGATTATAATTTTAATTACTACTTAAGAGTTAAAAAGCATTTTGTTTGAATATTTCGTAAAAATTTAATGAGAATGAGTACTTTTGGTAAAGTTTAACTAATTAATAAATAGATATTGAAATATAAATAGAATATTATTCTTAGATAATAATTAAAATTATAAATATTTATTTTTAGTAGTGATTTTGTTGATTATCAATCATTTATTTGTAATCAAACCTTTAAGAATGTTTGTAAATTTTACAGTATTTTTACCATTGCGATTATATCATCAAGAAGTTCATTTCTATACATAGCTTCTACTTTTACTTTTGGACCACATTTTATGCAATCTTTAGCATATGCCTTTTTACAAGAAAAACAAAATGAATGGCCACACGGAATAATAGTAATAGGTTCCTTTATAAACTGTTCACAATAATTACATTTTAAACTTTTAAGTATTTCTTTCTTTAAATTTTATTTAAAAAAATATTTTAGATTTTCAAAAAAAATAAAAAAGTTATTTAAATTGTGTCAAATAAAAGTAAACCTCAGCTTCATCTAGCTTCTTTGAAGATTTTTAAATATTTTATAATTAGCCTGTCATAATTGAAATTTTTTATTCTGTTTCATCAAATTTTTTTTTAAGATCATTAAAATTTTATTTGAGGTCTTATTGGTTTTTATCATTAGATGACTACTTGTTTCTGGTATTTTCAAGTTCTTTGAGCATATTTTAAAGTTTATCATTTTTTTAATTGATTTATTATTCTAAAGAGCTGATTTAAGTTTTAAAGTCTTAAATTGATTTATTTAAGCTGTTATTTTCACCATTTAATTTATTTATTTATTCCTAATAAAAGTAAAAAAAAAATGAATTAAAGTCAAGCATTCATTATATATTATTTACTTTTAATGAATTATTTTATTAGGTAAGATCGGTAATTTCATTTTATTACAGAATTTTAGATTATTGTTACTCTTCCATATTTTATTTCAACTTTGAATTTTCTTCCTTTAAACTTGAAAGAACTTTGGCTAGATTCTTTTATTTTGTAATAATTTATATTAAAGAAATACCACTAAATGTAAGTTACTTCTTATTCTTTGAATTTACTTTCTAGCTCTTGTTATTTTAAGGTTGAGGTTCTTCTTAAGCTTTAAATATTATTTTCAACTTATTTTTTTTCTTCTTCATATGACTTTATAGTCTCCAACGCTTTTGAAAGCTCTGATGTCTTCTTTTCTAAGTCGATCTAATTAAAAATTAGCAAGAATTTATTTCAGATAAATTAAATTAATGAGAAAAAGAAAGTACTTTTAATTTACTCCCATTTTAAATAGATTCATTTAACTTGGAAGTTAATTCATTTATTTAATTATTTTTCTATTTGTCTGATTCAGTAACCTAAGATTTATGAGTGCTTAATTCTTTGCTCATCTCTTTGATTTTTTGCTCTAAATCTTCAATTTTTTTTGCTTAAATTAGCTCTTAATTCTTTTATTCGTTCGCTTTTGTTTCATCATCTTTGATTTTCTAAAATTCTTTTTCATAAAATTAGACTTTTGTTATTAGCTCCTCCATCCTTAAAATTTAAAGATTACATAAAAAAATATTAAATAACATCATAATATTAATAAAAAAGGAATTAAGCAAGAAAGGAAGATAAGAGTTAAAAAAATACTTTATGTGATTTGTTTTAAATCTATTGTTAATTTTTTCGTTACTCTCAATTAGTTCTTTAATTTATCTATTTTTTTCATCTGAATTTTATCTTTCATTTATATATTCAATTCTTAGCTTTTCAATAGTTAATTCCAATTCTTTAATCATTTCATCTCTTTTCTCAATATCATACTGATGCTTTTCCAGCTTGTTAGAAAAGTCTTTAATAAAATTTTTAGGGTTCTATATTTTTAAAAAAGTATTTATGCCAACAAGAAGAAAACGCTAAAATATTTGAATTATCTGAAAAACACGCTTGAATAATATGTAGAAACTATTCTATTTTAATTTATTTAAATTATTAACCAGGTAATTACAATTTGTTAAGTTGAAGCACTATCTCTCATGGTTAACTATTTCTTTACAAGCTTCCCGTTACTAATTTAAGTAGTTAATGGAATTTCATTGTAAGAAAGCCTTGTCTTAAAATTTTAATCTTCTGCAGCTATTGTTTTATTTAGCTATTTGTTTTTATCTATCAATGGAAAATAACTGCTTGTTGTTCTCATAATTTTTTAATGCTTTGATTTTTAATATTCACAAATATTATAAAAAATTTCTTTCGTTTTTTAACTATAAATTGCATTCTAGCATATATAATTCTATTAGTTAAACACATTTATACATTTTTTAAAATTCTTTAAAAATATAATATGAAATTACAATTTTAAAGCAAGTCATCAATCAATTATTTCAAAACAAACGAATTAATAGTTTTAAATTAATCTTCTATTGAATAAATAAATGTTTTAATATAAAACCAATTTACTTTTTAAACATAAATACATTTTTCAAAAAGCTTTATTTTTTTCTACAATTAAAAGTTATGAATTTGTTTTTACAATTTAATAAAATGAACTGCTATAAGCAACAGCTAAATTAAAATGGAATCACAAGTATACAGAAAAATAATTTATTAATGTGTTTTAGAATATACATTAATTTATTAATTAATTAACTATTTATTTATTTAACCTTGATTATCTTACTTCTATGCTCTACTTTTCTAATTGACTAATTTATTTATTTTTATCTAATATATTTATTTTTGTTTTTGTTTGAAATATTTTTTGTTTGAAAATTTATTTTAGTTTTTTGTTTAATATATATATCTAAATAATCTTTAATTAATCAGTGAATAAGATCATCAGTCAATCATAATTGACTTAGGAAGAATTTCGTTTAAAAATTAGGTGTTCTTTTTTTCTAATTTTTTTTTAACTAATTAAATATTTAGCTGCTCTATTCTTTTAAACTTGTAAGTAACTTCATCAAATCTCTTAATAGTTGATTTCCTATCATAAATTATGAGATTTTCATCAGGCATATTGGATATATCATCTTCTTATATAGGATCATTATCTTGATCATCATAATCACCACCATTTTAACTTGATTATTAACTTCTAAATTTGTCGTATATAATGAGATTTTTGCTACATATATTTATTAAATTACAAAAAACTGAGATTTATTAAAGCAAATCTATATCTTCTTTTGCTAACTATGGAATATGGCCTTTGTGAATTTGCTCATTAATAATATAGAGCAACCTATCTAAAACAACCTCTATGAAGTTGAAGAAGGTAGCTTCGATTTTATAGAATAGATTTTCTTAATTTAAATATTGTGATTCGTTTTAACTCGAATCGTAGTATTCTGTTTCTTAAAACTCTTCTTCCTTTGTTTTTTTCATGTTCAAAAGCTTTTGTAATTACTCTACATAATAATTTAAACGCTCTTAAAACTCTTCATAATTAAATAAAAATCTAGTGAATCTGCAAAATCCTGTATCGTTATAATCACTCCTTGGATATTCAATTATATCTTCACTCTATTAATGGTTTTCTCTTCTAGTTCCTTTCTTAAAGCCACTTAAATCTTTTATTAATTTTTTAAATGCCTAAATTAAAGAATCAATGGCTCTATCAGTTGTTTTTATATCTTCAAACTGTTTTTTCTTTTTTATTTCTGAAGAATTGTTATTTTTTTTCTCTTGATTTGTAAATTCCTTTGTACAGTCAGCAAGTTCTTAAAGGGGAGCAACAATAGACTTCACAAAATAAATAGATAATAGAATACAAAAGACAACAACAGAGCACTCTGTAATTATAAGATAGTATTGTTTTTTTTAAAATGATGACTATAAATTGCTTTATATTGAATAATACTCTTCGAATCCATCTCTATCAGTAATGATTATAAAAAAAACTAACTAATTTGGACTGAAATTTTTATTAGAAACAAATTATCTGTAGACTATTAATTAATTATTATTTGCATCCATAAATTCAAAATAAGAGTTAACACTGTAATTTTAGTTTTAAATCTATTGCCTAAATTTTTTGTAATAAAAAATCTTATTATTTAAAGATTAAAAAAGCAATATTTCAAAATATAAAATCTAAAAAAGCTTCAATATCAAATTTAATATTCTATTTTTATCTATGTTTAAACATTTAGAAATATTTCTGAATTGAGGCAGATCACAATAAAAATAAATAAAAAAATTTACCAATTTTAATCAGTTATGTTTGTATATTATTAATTTGACACATGGTAAAAAGATTGTCCTGAGTTAAAAGGATCGTTTGCTAAAATCTTAGCTGGATCATTTAATATCGAACCATCAGAAATATTAGCTAAATAAAATTTACTGCTTTAATATAATTCGCTTTGGGGTGGGAGCACTTAATCTAACTCATAACAAAAAATGTCAATTCCAATAACTCCAATCATTTTGCCATCTTTAGTCACTATCGGTATAGAGACAGTTACAATAGGCAAATTTGTAACTAAATCTTAATATGGCCCAGTAACCTAATAAGTAGCTAAATTAGAACTTTAAAAAGCATTTTAGCTTGCTAAGTACCATTTTCTTTATGTTATATCTATATGTTAACCATTCTTTTAAAGTAGCTAAGCACATGCCCCTGCTGGATAAAAAACTTGAAGATCATTGCCAAAAGACAAGTAAAGTTACTAAATTTTAATAGTAATTAGTATAAATAAACTATTTTAAATTTAGTTAAAATTTTATGGGTTTAAAATAAATAATATTCATCTTTGCTAATTTACATGCAATGCAATGTATAAAAGAAAAAGAATTAATTTCAGACATTACCTGGATTCTTATTTGAGACCCTTTATAATAAACTAAATTTTTAAGATAATAATTCAATATGTCTGCTCCTTATAGATATTTTTATGCTTATGGACTTAGAACAGTCCAATCTTTAGAATTAGAAAGCGAAAAATAGGAAATATAGTCTAAGGAAATTTAATTTTTTGAATAGTATTACTAACTGAGATATAAATCATACTGAGTCTAAGAAGGTACAGCTTATTTAATTGAAATATATCTATTAGGTCCAATAAGAGGAAATGTAGAAAAAGATTCATCATAAAAACTATCGTCTAGTTGAAGAGATGAGAGGAATATTTTTGTGATAGAAGAGAGAGAGACGAAATTTCGATTGAAGATACCAATATACAAATTTTAAGCAGTTTGAATTTGATTAGAAAGTGTATTTTATATTGAAGCTTACGCTTCTTACAGGGCACTCTAATCAATTAAATAAGTAGCAATATACATGTGACCTAAAATTATACCGCAAAAAACGCAAAGAATAGCAATTTAGAGCATACAAAACGCTTAGAAGATTTATCTCTCTGATTTCCATTCTTTGTAAATAGGAATTAAGCATATTCGCTTCATTTGCTTTTTGTCCTTACTAATTTCTAGTTAATTATTTATATTCGTTTCATCCTCTTAATTCATAGAGGCATCATTAAGGTTAGATCCGCTTTCTGCCTGCTGAGACTATTGTTCCTAGTCATCATCGTCTTAAAATTCTTAGTCCATGAATACTTATGAGAATAATAATCAAAATAATCTTATGATAATTGTTTGCTAATATAGAAAAATTTTGATAATGTATATTTCTACTTCTAATGACTACTTAAATAAATTCTTACTCAAAAAAACTATGTTTGAGTAGCTAGCTAAATTTTAATATTGTTGTTCAAAAATTATTTAAGTTTACAATTTGGCTTCAATTATTTTCAACAAAGTGAATTATTCCCTAAAATATGTTTAGAAGCCTAGACCTAATTGTTTATAATAAGTTTATTTTAAAATATTTTGTTTATTAAATTTTAAAATAATACTGAAATATAACTCAAACTTAGCTACTTACTTACTTATTTTTATTTTATTAAAATACAAGAATATAAAAATTTTTGTATTTTTTATTCAAGGATCAATTAATTCCTTTATTTTCAATGTATATTAGGCTTAATTCATTAATAATTTCAAAAAATATATTGTTATTTGAATGAAACATTTTCTTAACAGAAATCTAATAAACGAATTATGCTTTATATAGACAGTAAAGATAGATTGATCGATAGATACATTCATTCATTTATACAAACATAAATATACATATATTTGTTATTTAGTTGAATCATTTATTTATTTTTAATAATTTTTTCTTGTGAGTGCTTTTATAATAGTAAAAATTATGAATTAATAAATATTGGCTCATGGTATGAATTCTAGTTATTCTCAATTATTTTAATCTACATGCATTTTTCTAAAAATATATTTCATAAAAACCATTCCATTAAAAGTGTAAATGAACTCAAATTTTTAAATTTAAGATAATAGCTAATTTTAGTAAATTAGTTGATTAATTTGTTTATTTTTAAAAAGTTTTTTTTTATTTTTCAATTGTAAAATAAAGTTTTAAAAAATATATTTGCTTATAAATTAAAAAAAATGTTAAAAATAAACAAATGAATTAAAAAAATAATTAATTAATATTTTAAAATAAACTAAAAATTAAAAATTTAATTTTTTAAAATTTACAATTTATGATGAATAGAATAAATACAAAGGGATATGAATAGTTGTATGATTCCAAATATATGCAATTTGATATAATTAGCAAGAGTGAGTAAGTACTTTTTATTAATTATTCAGAGATCTTTATAAAATCAGTAAATTTTAAAAAAATCTCTTATTTTAAACCAGAAGTAGTCAATTATTCAAGCTAACAAGTCAGTTTGTTAGTTAAAAAATCAGTTTTTAGTTCTTAATTATTATAAATTTGAGCTTAAATAGGAAAATAAGTAAGTACTTACCTCTCTTAATCATGCTGTAAGATTAATTATTAGTGATTTATGGTAAAGACTATTTTTTTTATTATAGTGAAATATTTTTAGTTTTATTAAGAATGCTTTTGAAGAAGTTTTATATTTTAATTAAGATCATATTTATTTAATTATTTTATATGATTCTTTTATGTAAAGATTCCTCAACAGCAATCATCTCCCTAATTCTTTTAGTTTTGTTGAACTTGTCTGGAGCCACTTTATTAAGTATTGTATTTATTTTATTGAATCTTCATTCCCTATGAAGGTGCAGTATTCAAAACTTAACCACTACCCAAGCTTTTTATAAAGATAAATAAACTTGATTAGTTAAAACAATTATTTAAAATTTAAAATTACATATTCTTAGCAAGATTAGTGAAGGCTAAATCTATATTGCTGGCATTTTTGGCTGATGTTTCAGCAAAAGGTATTTAGTATTATTTAGCTTTAATTAATTAACAAAAATATTTAAATAAAAAAAAATAGATTTAAATTAGACCAAATACCTAATTCAAATCCTTCTTCGTAAGAAACAGCTCTATTACTACAATCAGATTTATTACCAATTAACATTTTTTATACTCCTTTTTTGGCATGCCTAATTTATTACAAAAAAAAATATATTAATTTTATTTATTTTTAATTCAAAATTTATTTTTTCCTACTTTTCAATTTCTACCATCCATGTCTTAACGTTATCAAATGATTCCCTTTCAGTAATGTCATAAACAATCAAAATGCCATGAGCACCTCTAATTTATTTAAAATTTTAATTTATAATCTTCAATTTTCAAAGGAGTCAAATAAAAAATTTGGATTAAAGATATTATTCTTTTAAGCTTACCTATAATAACTACAGGTAATAGTTCTAAAACGGTCTTGTCCAGCAGTATCCCACTTTAAATAATAAAAAAAAAACCTAAGAATTTTGGAATAAACAATGTTAATTCATAAGCAAGATTAAAATCGCTTTTGGTAGCTTTTTTGATAAGCATTTATCTTATTATAATTCGATTAGCTTGATTCTTTAAGAATTTTTTAGGTAATTTACATTCTTGTTTAACGAATTAATAATATGAATAAGTGTTTGTTTGCGATTTTAATCTAACTTGTAAGATAAATAATCCTATTACGATTTGAAGTTTAATATTCTTGTCTTCTAACCTTAAAGCTTTAATTTTCTATTTTATATTCAAAAAATGTTTTATTTAGAAAAAAATTGAAGTAGTAGCTATTTGTTTATAGTTTTAAGAATAAAATATGAAATTAAAGTTAAATTAGTAAATCAATGAATTCAAATTACGAAGTCGACTCCGATAGTATTATAGAAATTGTAGGTAAATTAGTTTTCCTGTTATTATTGAAATAGCAATTAATATAAACGGCTTGAACTGAGAAGGATTTTAAATTGATTACTGAATAACGCATGAGCATGCAAGTTTTGCCTACACCTGAATTACCAATCAATAGAATTTTAAATAAGTGATCACTATTTTATATTATTATTAAAATTAACAAATTTAAATGTTTTTTCATCTTGTTAATAATGTCTAAGGGAGTAAAGTTCTCCTCCTATATGTCTAGTTGGCTTAAATTTTTAATGCTTTTGTTCTTAAATAAATTACTATTATCCTGAATCCATCTTTAAATAACTCTGTATGAATGATATATTTGATTGAGTCTTAATTGATTTTTTAACTTTTAATGTGTTTTATTTGATTTCTTATTTAAGCGAATATATCAAAAAATTAATTAGTTTGTTGCTCTTTTTTTTTATGAAATATTTATTAGATATTTTATTTAATATGCACTACGCCTATTATTTATTTATTTACTTATTTTCTTTTTCTTTTTTCTTGAAGCATTAAAATTTCATTCATATTTTCAAGCAAAATTCATTCAGTCTTAGTTTCTTTTTTTTGCTTTCTAAACTGTTGTTAATTTCATTTATTTTATTTGAAAATTTGAAAAATTTATCTTCATTTTTTCCATTAGAAGAATTCTCTTTCTATCCTAATTATCGATTGACCCTATCCCTTTCTTATTTTTTTCACAAGAATAGAGTGCAATCATTCATTCATTTATTCATTTATTGTCTTCCTTTACAAATATATATGTTCGATAGAATTACTCTATTTAATCTTAATCTGATTTATTAACAATCATATTCATTAGAATCTTTGTGCTCAACTCTATATTCTTATTGCTTAAAATGTTTTTTTTTCTTTAGAAACAGTTAAACATAAAAAGAAAAATATAATAAATTGCATGATTAATAAATTCCATTCGATGTTCGTTAAATTTTCCTTTTTGCTATTCAAATTTCTAATATTAAATTTGTTTAATTTAAATAATTCAGACATCTGTTTTCATTTATCCAATTAAGACTGATATGCATATTTTTTAAAATATATTGATAAAAACTTATAAAGAGTTTCTTCAATAAAATAAAAACTCATTCAAACGTAAAATTAATTACAAAATGTAGAACAAATATTTAACTAAACTTTAAAAGGATTATTTCTACTAAATCTATAAATTATTTTAAATTCTTTAAAATTAATTTTAATCAAATATAAAAATTATTTAAAAAAAAAATTAAAAAATTAGAAACATTTTAATAGATTAATTAATTCTTTGATGTATGTAGAAAATTCAATAACTAAAACCAATTTAAACATAAGAATGATTAATTAAAATTTGTCAATATATCAACTTTTTGCAAATTAACTCCTAATTAAACTATCTTCCTTATTATTTGACATTATTTGCTACTCGAGGTAGATTGTCATAATTAAAAGTGCTAATTTGGTACAAGGTTTTCTTGATGTTACAAATCATTTAGATTATAACCATTAAATAAATGATAATTGGCTTTGATAAATTAAAATTTTTTGGTTTATGATTCTTATTTTTACTTCTTAGTGCAATTATAGATTTTAGTTTTTTTTCTTTGCAAATTTTGTATACATAGGTACAAGCAAAGGAGAAAAGTAGGAAAATTAGTTTTAAAGTTTTTAGTAAATTGCAAAATTAAAAATATTACTCTAATTTAGAATGTTGAAAGCGAAAAATTGCATAAATTGCATGCTTATCTAGCATTTTAAAGTAAAAATAACGCTAAAAGGATTTAGTACGAAATAACTATTATTATCAAACTGCACAACATTTAAAATTATAAATATACAGAGTATTATCTATCATATTTTTAGGCCTATTTAATATTAGTTAGTGCAAGCAAGATACTTTCCTAATAGCTTATGAAAAATTGAAAATAATGTGGAAGACTTATTCTAATTTGAGTAAATATCTCTTTTATTTAAAAAATTTAAATAGACTGTATGAAGATATACATACACACCCTTTTAATGCAAAGAGAATTAAGTACACTAAAAGATTAATACTATTATATTTAGTAGTTTTTATTTATACAATAATAGTTAATATTCTTAAAAATTGTAATTATATCCCGAACGTCAGATATTTCATTTCTTTCTTTGGGCTCTGACAGCTTCTTCGAGTAAAGCTTTTTTCACCTTAGCTCTTCTGTGGGTACCAAGTCTCTTTCTGGCAATCTTAGTGGCCTTCTTGGAGTCCTTGGCAGAACCAGCCTTAATGAGTTCGATAATTCTCTTTTCATAAGGAGCGAAACCAGTGACTTCTCTAATGACTTGTCTAACTAAAGCAACTCTCTTACCAAGTTTACCCTTTCTTTAGACAGCAGAGTGCTTTTAAAGCTTCTTTTCTAATTAAGTAGTAATGAAACCCTTATTAATACCAACAGCTTGACCTTTAGCCATTTTTATTTATTTCTTATATTTCTTTTTTCTTAATAAAAATCTTTTGACTTTTTTGTTTATATTAATTTTGTTAGTAACAAATACTTGACCTCTTTTTTGATCTTTTTTATTTTATCTTTCTGCTTTTATTTTTATTTGTATTTATACCCCTTTTTCTTACATTTACTTTTGATTTCATTCATTTTTCAGTATTCATTCCTTATCATAAAAGATCTTTAGCAAGCTATCAAATCATGCTTTTTCTTCCTTTTCTAGCCTATTTAATTCAATACAATCAATAAATCAATTAATCCTTTCTCCATCACCATTTTTTATTTTTGTTAAATTTATTTTCTCTACTTTTACCTTCATACATTTCCTCTTATCATCCCAGTACTTTCTATCAATCTTCTTTGATTTTAAATCAAATGTTCCTTAATATATTTAGAATAAAATTATTTCTTTTTAATTAATTTTCAATTTATTTATAACTTTTCTTCATTATTAATAGTGCATTTAATAATAATTATACCTTATAACTTAATTAATTTATAGTAATATAATTATCTATTAATATATCTACCTATCTTTTGATGTTATTAAAATACTAAAATAATTAACTTATTTAAGCTATAAAATATCATTCCTAATCACACTTCAAAATTTATTTCTAATTTATTAATTTTACATGTAAACTATAATAAAAAATTTAAATAAATATTATTTATTTTTTATACTAATTCTATCATATTAAGCATTTATTCTAAATTGATATTTTAATAATATTATAAAATAAGAAGCTAATTAAAACTAAAATGTTATACTATTATTCACTTAGTCAACTTAAATTCAATTTTTTTTATTCAGATAAGATTAGACATTCATCATGATTGATTTAAGGAATTATAAAATTTGAAGAATTTATATTCTTATGCATTTTCTTACTAAACTAATACATAAATAATTTTAAGCTAAATTGTTTATTATTTGATTTAAAAAGCACTATTAATATATACTTTTAACCTGATATTCATTTCTGATTTCAGAAAATTATTATTTATCATTTTAATCACTAAAAACTAAACATAAAATTTTATAAATTTCATTTTACTCAATTTTTTAATATTTTATTAGAATAAATGATAAACATAAAAACCATTTTTTAGATAAAATTGTGAATAATTTTACTACATTTGCTTTTTATAAAATAGATATTTTATAAAGATTTTAAAGCATTTAATTAAATTATTATTAGATTTATACTAAACAGAAAATTTAGATTAATAAAATAATTACTCACTAACAAAAGATTATTATATCCTAAGTTAAATTTCTGAAGATATTTGAGATAAAAAAATACCAAATTAAATTTAAAGTATTAAAGGAATAATAAGTAAGATAAATAAAAATAGATTTATTCTAAAATATTCAGATATATTAGTTTAATAAAATAATCACTTCATTTCAAAAATAAAAAAAGTATATTTAATATTAATTAATTTGTATTAACTCCTAATCAAAATTTCTTTGATACTTTTTATGAGATAAAAATACCTAATTAACTCATTTATTCAATTAAATTTTATTTTTTTTCAAATATTAAGTGAATCTAAAATGATAAAAATATTATCAATAATAGGTATTAATAAATGATGATATTTAGAAATTTAAGTTTAAAATAGAATAATTTTTGTTCACATAATTTTATTTTAATGAAATCTAAATAATTTAGAAAAATTAAAAATCTTTAAATTAATAATGTAATATTGTAGCACTCAAAATAACTAATTAATCCAAATAAAATTAAACTATTCTGTAAATCATATTTTTATTCTTATTTTATTTTATAAAAAAATTTATTGTAGAAATATTTTAACTAGAAAATTTAAATTAGTATGAAAAAAATATAAAAAACAGGATAACTTTTTGAAATTAGCCTAATAAGCACTGTTTAGACCTTATTTATATCATAAAATGCGTTAAATAATCAGATTTGATTGTAGTTAATTCCTAAATACAAACAAATTTAAAATAGGAGAGATGGACTTTAAAACCTCAAATTAAACTTCAATAGTTTGTAAAGATAATTTTTATTATTAAAATTTATAAATTGTGTTTTATTTAGGAGAGGTTAGCAATTTTAGAAAACTTTGAGTAGATTGTATTGTGTATAAATGTTAACTATAAATCTGATTATTTTTATTCAATTAATAGTGTTGCAAAAATATACTATAAAAAGGATTACCTCAAAAAATCTATTGTTTAAATAAAGTCTTTATTTAAATTAGAAATCACTAAAATAGGGAGTGCATATTTTCTTTAAAACATTATTAACTTTAAAGCAATCAAACAATAAATTTTAAGTAATTATATCTCAGATAGCTCAACTCATTGATTGATTTGAAGAATTATAATTATTAATAGAGTGAAATGCCTATTTAATTTACAAAAGGCGAAATGTAATATATCTTAATAACATAATAAATAAAGCTAAATAAGCTTAAAACAGCTTTATTTTTGAGTTTTTAGAAAGCTTTAAATTCGCAAAATGTAAAATTAGAAATAATAGACACCATATATTCTTATAACATGTCATTTTTTTTGAAAAAAATAAATTTTGAAAATTTTGAAAATTTTTTCGAATTAGGAGTTTCATTAAGAAAAGGCTTAATTTTTTGAAAGGACTTATCAAAAGAATAATTACGGTATATACAAATATTTGAATAAAGAACACATAATTTTACAAAACATCTGCTAAAATTTTATATTATCATAGACTTATAAAGCTTATCAAAGTATAAATTATAGATTTATCTGATAATATTTTGCATTTTTATAAGTAATTTCTCAACATTTAATAGTTTTTAATAAGGAATTTTAATAATAATTATTTTAATTACATGATTTCAAAAAATGATGAATTATATGATAACACCTTTAGTAATTTAAAATAATTAGGATTTTATTGAGTATTTAATAGCATAAATTAAAGATTATTCTATTCCAAATATTTTTCACAGTCAAAGAAGATTAAAATATCAATTAATCGTTTAAGAGGCAAATTAATTTCTATTAGAGCTGTTTTATATTGAGAGATTAAAAATAAATATTCTAATTATTATTTTAATTGAAATTAAGCAAATTAATTTATAAGTAATTTTAATGGTATAATTTGATAACTGTATTACTTCAAATATATTTTATTAATAGCTTAAAATCACTAAAATAAAAAAATCAATTACATAAAATAAATATTTATCATTTAAATTATTTTGAATCTACTTAATAATTGCTAGCAAAAAGAAGCAAACATCATTCCTAAATATACCCAAGAATTACTGATCCCACTTATGCCACTGTGGTCTTTAGAAAAGTGATTATTCTTTTAAAACTATTTTAATTCATTCTGATAAGAAAATGCTAATCTCATTTTTAGAATTATTTGTATTATGACTTTCAATTTAGTAAAAAAAAAATATTATTCTCAGTTTTAGTAATATAATTAGATAAAGTTAAAAATTATTTGTTATTATAAATATAATAATTTCATCAAAAAATACCATAATTATTATTTATTTTCAGATTTTATATATTTTCAATTATTACATAGTATTAGAGTATGAATTAACTTAATTTTATATGGCTATATTTATTTTAAAAATATTTATTTTTATATGAGGAATTATTCTTTAACATATTAACATGATTTATATGAATTAACTGAAGTTAAGCAATTCAACTAAGAAAGTTAACTTTCATATCTTCTTCTAATAAATTGTAACTTATTTTTTACTTTTAAATCTAAATAAACTATCTATAATTTATATATAAAAAACTACCTTTTAGTTATTAGTAAAAATTTATATAAAAACTCTTTTTTATAGATGAATCTAGCCATAAACCAATAAACTTCTTAAAATTATTTGTTAAAGAAAGGCAAGAATTCCCTTTTACAATTATTATAATTTAAAGAGGTGAGAATAATAATTCGTCTTTAGTTTATTCTTATTTGAAATAGAAATCACCTTCTTCATTAAATAATACCCATAAATTTTATAATATGCATCAAAAAATATTTTCATACTTTCAACTTAATAAATATGTTTAATATAGAATGATTGATGAGGATAAGTGAAATAAAGACAACTATTTAATTAATAATAAAAAATCAATTATTAAAATAACTTTTATTATATTCTAAATATTTTATAATAATAAAAAAATGAATAGTATAATCCATTAGATCAAGATAAAAATTAAATAATTATTTTTTTAATTTAATTTTAAGTTTGTTTAGATCGTTCATTTAAAAAATATTAATATATTTCTTACTTAAAAATTGTTTTCATACTTCTACTAATTCTGCATTTAATTTTTTTTAATAGAAGTATTTTAGAATTTTAATTAATTAAAAATTTGTTTTAAACCCCATATCATGTTTTTATTTATTATCCTTTTTTTTTTTTTTATTTTGAATTTTACAATTAATTAAATTAAAATTATCAAAACAAGATATTTCGTTTTTAGAAAATTCATGACAATCATTTGTTAGCAAATATTTTGCTTTATTTATATTGAGTTTAATATTTAAAGTTATATTTAATTCAAAATTATTTTATTACATAAGGAGATAGAAGTTAATTAAAAATGGTAAGCTGAATATTTTTTTAATGTAGAATACTTTATTTATAAATTTAAACTATCTACAAAAATGTAGAAATTAAAAATTATTGGCACCATCCATTTTAAATTTGATAAATGCCATTATAATTTAATGTAATAATTCAGTTATTTTAATAAAAAAATACAAATAATTATTTTTATGTTATATTTGCTTGATAAATATTAACTTTTTATTCTTCATTAATTTATCCTTAAGCCAATTAAAAATAAATAAAAAATATTCTTCATCAAGTTTTTACTTCTTATATAAAATCTTCAAATATATTTCAAAATCTAATATTTATTAAACCTATTAAAAAATTTTTTATTAAATCAAATATTAAGCTTTGTTAAATTATTTTCTTTGCAATAGAATACTAAAATATAAATCTATTTATATTATTTTTTAAATTTATTTTAAAGTTTTATATTTGCTTAGTGCTAAAAAATAAAAATTTCATTAAAAATTAAATATTGATAGCTATTGATAATTTTTTTCTAATTTAAGAATATTTGTTACATTCAAGAAAGGAGAGTAAAGATATTAAAAAATTAATGTAAATCAAATTTTTTGTAAAAAATTAAATAAAATATTTTCACTATTAGAGAAAAAAACTTAATTTATTCACAATTATTTATTGAAAATTTTTGAATATTTTATTACAAAAAGAGAATTTTTTTTGCATGTAATTGTCTCATTTTACCATATAAAATTTTTTTTGAATTATCAATTATTCTTCAAATTTTTTGAAGTAATTATTTTCAAGAAGCAAATTGTGAGCTTAATTATAAAATTTTCATTAAACTTTGAAAGATAATATATTGCCTTTGAAGGAAATAATACAAAATTAGTTAATAAATAAGCTTACTTTGATTATTAAGAGAGTAGCACACTTTATTTTGTTAAGAAAATTATAATTCTATCAAAAATTGAAGACTTTATTTTATTAAAGATCATTTTTTTGGTATTGTAAAAGAAATTTTATTTCCTGAATATGTTAAAGGTAAATATTTGAAGGTAGCTATACACATTTTAAATATTGTAAAAATAACCAAATAAAATATTCTTTTACAAATTTGAAATTTTATTTGCATTATTAACCAATTCGTTATGTTTTAGATACAACAAACTCAGTATGAAAAAATTTGCTTGAAAAGTTTATGATAATGAGCATGTTTATTTTAAAATTTACTAAATAAATCCACATAATTCAATCAATAATTAAGTTAATTTGAATTTCAAAAAATATTTAAAAATTAATATTAAAAAAATATTTTTTTGTGAATTATTCTTTTCATTTTTTGATTTTAAAACTGTCATAACGTTCATTCAATAAACACTAAATCTTATATGAAGTGTAATTATATTCATGCCTACTTTATAATTACTTATCTCAAACTGGTTTAAAAAGTGGATGTAACAAAAAGAATAATAATAGAATAGTTACTAAATTAAATATAACTAAACCAGATTATATTATTTAATTAATTAAAAATACACTTTTAATAATAAAGTAATACAAAACTTTTAGCTTTATTATTTTTAATCTTTTATTAAATTTATAAAAGAATTCTGATTAGGTGGTTAGGGATTAAAAATGTATAAAAGATAAGCTCTTTGTAATACTATATTTATTAAACTTTTACAATTTATATATCTATGGATATTCAAAAACCTATTGATATTTATCATATTTGTTGTAAAGATTTAAATAAATTGACTAAAATTTATTCATATTTACATATTTTTTATTAATATTATCTCATTAATCATTGTTTTACAAAAAAAATTTTTGATTAAATGTTTATTTGGTTTGTAAATAAAGTGTGAAACCAATCCTTTGTGAAATTAGATTGATTCTATTTATATTAAAGAATTTCAATCTTTAATTTTTTATACAACTTAAATTTTCAAGTTAATTATTTTAATTTTTTCTAAATGATTTAAATGTAAAATAAAATATTTTTAATAGTATTTATTTTTCATGGTAGTAAAAAGCTATCTTTAAGTGCTAAAAGTAACTTAGCAACCAAATAATTAACCAATTATTCATTAGTAGAAAGAAAAAAAAGTGTCCCTTTAATAAAACTTGCATGAAAATATTCTTTTATGAATAATTAGTATAGCTTTACTTTTAAACGAATAATTATAAAAGAAATATCTATGAATACAAAAAGCTAAAAAAGAATTTTACACTCAAGTTAAAAGTCAACTCCAATTAATAATTAAATTCATAAATTAATAATAAAAGAAACTTTTAAGTAAATTAATAAAAATGAATAAAACTGGATCTTTAATATTATTATTGGTAGCTTTCAATATTGCTGCTGCTCAACTCGTCACTATTCCTATTGAAAAGAGAGTTCCTGAATCAAACAACGGATTCTTAGATGATAATGACTAAGCTGCTGTTGACAGATTAGTTAACCACAATTAATACATGTACTCAGGTAACATCGAAGTTGGTAATTCCAAGTAAACCTACACTGTTGATTTTGATACTGGATCTAACCTTTTATGGTTAACAGGAAAGAACTGTCCTACTTGTGTTGTAAATAAATATTTTTTTAATTTGATTAATCTTTAATAACATTTAATTAATTAATTAAAATAGAAAGACGGATACAAGCATTCTTACGATTGCCAAGTTTCCGATGGTTGCAACATGACCTCTACTCCTGCTTCTATTACTTACGGTGATGGTTCTGGTGTTTCTGGTCACATTGCTAAGGTTCCTATTAGCATTGCCGGATTAGCTCCTGTTACTGAAGCCCTCCTCGTTGTTGAAAAGTCAGTCAGAAACGGAGGATTAGAAGTATTAATTTTAAATTAAATATTGCTTTTCTTTATCTAAATTAAGTAAAATTTACTAAAATTTTCTTTAAAAATTATTAGTCTGATGGTTTGATGGGTCTCGGTGTCTATGATGAACACAACACCAACGCTGTTCCTTTTGTCAACTAACTTTTCAAATAAGGTATCATCTCTAAGAGCTAATTCAGTTTCTATCTTGGTTTCGGTCAAAACGAATCTGAACTTATTATTGGTGGAGTTGATAATACCAAACTTGCTAACCCCTCTTAACTTTACTTCCATCCTATTATTATTAACGGTCAACACAATGATAGTCAAAGATGGTCTGTTGCTATCAAGTCTGTCTCTTTTGGTGACTAATCTGTTCCTCTTACTTCTAAGAACGTTGCTATCGTTGACTCTGGTACTTCTTTGCTTGTCATGAGAAACGATGTCTTCAAGTAATGGATTAACTACCTTAAGACTGTTGCCACTCTTAAGACAATCACCTCAGGTGGTAGTATATTCTACGGTGTTAAATGTGGTGCCACTTTACCCGATTTAACCTTCACTCTTACTGATGTTAACGGTGTTGACAGAAGCTACTCTCTCCCTTCTTCTTTCTATGTCATCTAAGATAACAGCTCTTGCATTATTGGAGTCTAAGGTATTGCTCTTACCAGTGATGTCTAATTCATTTTGGGTGATGTTTTCATGAGAAGATTCGTTTCCGTTTTTGATTACACTACTGTTTCTATGGGTAATTATTTATTTATTAATTTCCTAAAATTTATCTTTTATAAAAAATTTTTTTTCAACAATTAAAATTGATTATTTTAAAAATAGGTCTTGCTCAATCAGTTGCCAACCCTGCCTCTACTAACGGTAGCAGCTCAGTAAACACCCTCAAAACTTTCATTGCTTTAGGATTAGTTTTAATTGCTGTCTCTGCTCTTATCATCCTTGCTCTCAGAAGAAAGTGAAAAGAAAAAATTTATTTTAATAAAGTTAACAATATTTATAAATTAAAATGTTAAAATTTATATTTTAAATGTCAAATATTTTGCTATCCAATTAATCTTTAAATCATTTAAATTACTCTAAATTTATTTTTTAATTTTTGTCAAAATTTTTAAATCACTATGCTAACAAACTGCTTTTTATTCTACTTAGAATTTAATATGTGTTTATTTTGATTAAATTAGTGTTTCTTTATAATTTAAGACCAGTTGCGCCTTTTTCTTAACTAAAATGGCATATTAAAATTACTTTAATAAATTAAACTCTGAATTAAGTAGATTCTTATTATTCAAAAATCTACAATGTCCTAATAACTAATCACTTTAGATAATAAAGTGGTTATAAAGTTTAATCTATTTTCTCTGTCTAAAATTAAATTTTATGGAATTATTTATTTCTCAAAAATAGAGGTGGGCTTTTTTATAAAATTAAATATATTTAAACAAATCTAAAACTTTTCAATTAAATTTGCATAAATTTATCCATGTAATTAATGTTTTGTAATCTTTTTTGATATAATTTAAAATATTTATATAACTCTTATTATCAGTTATGTTTAAAAAACACCAATAAATTTCTTACAACTTTTTTGACTTAAATAAATAGTTTTGGCCGATATTAAAGAAAATAAAATTAATTTAACTTTCATATAGCGTCTTAAGTATCTTATCATTTTCAAAGATAGTTATGAAATAGGAACTGTAACAAGTCCCTAATAATTAAGTAGAAAACTTGAATCTTATATCAAGAAATATATAAAAATAAGAATAATTGCATATTAAACCTTTTTATGAGTAATTTAATCTTTTATTAATTGTTATAAAAGAAATATAAAATCTTAGAGCACAAAGATAAAATTAGATGAAAAAAAAGACTTGTCCAAAATTCTTATTTTGAACTTTAAATAAAAATCAAATTTACTAAAATATTTTATGTTTAAGACTTAATTTTCTCAATTACTGGTTACTTTTATTCAATTTTTTGTTTCAAGCAACAAAGAATAATTTTTAAATTATCTTGTAAAAAATTTGATTTTCTTACCATCATCATTTAATTAAACCTTAATTAGTAGAAGTAGCTTTTGATATCAAAAATGACCTTACAATTTTAACTTTTTATTAATATCTTTAAATTATTCTTTTATCTGTTTTTTTAAATGAACAAAAATAAATGTAAAAGAATATTTTTTATATAAAAAATGTTATAAAGGATTTATTTTTTATTTCATATTTAAATCGATAATCAAATGAATGTTTAGAAGTATAAATCATTTAATAAAAACTTTTAAGTAATTCAATAAATATGAATAAAACTGGATCTTTGATATTATTATTGATAGCATTAAATATTGCTACCTCTCAAATTATCACCATACCCATTGAGAAGAGAGTTCCTGAAGTTGAAAATAACAGCTTCTTAGATGACAATGAGTAAGCTGCCATAGACCAATTAATTAACCACAGCTAATTTATGTACTCTGGTAACATTGAAGTTGGTAATTCCAAATAAACCTTTAATGTAGACTTCGATACTGGATCTAATCTTTTATGGTTAACCAGCAAAAGCTGTAGTACTTGTCACGTAAATAATTTTTATACTAATACAAATATGCTTTAAATAATTTTTCATTCATTAATTAAAATTAGTAAGATGGATTCAAGAACTCTTACGACTGCAACGTTGCTGATGGTTGCAACATGACTACCACACCTGGTTCTGTCTCATATGTTGATGGTTCTGGTGTTTTTGGTCACATTGCTAAAGTTCCTGTTGCTATTGCTGGATTAGCTCCTTCTACTTAAGCTCTTCTTTTGGTTGAAAAATCTGTAAAAAACAAAGGCTTATAAGTAATCAACTTTTTTATGATTTTAAAAATTAAAACTTTTTTTTTCATTTAAAGTCTGACGGTTTGATGGGTCTCGGTGTTTATGATGAACACAACTCTAATAATGTTGCTTTTGTCAACTAACTTTTCAAGTAGGGAACTATCTCTAAGAGTTAATTCAGTTTCTATCTTGGTTTTGGTGAAAAGGAATCTGAACTTATTATCGGTGGTGTCGATAACAGTAAGCTTGCAAATCCTTCTGAAATTTATTACCATCCTATTATTCTTAATGGCCAATAAAATGACAGCCAAAGATGGTCTGTTGCTATTAAGTCAGTTTCTTTCGGAGGCTAATCAGTTTCTCTTACATCTTAAAATGTCGCTATTGTTGATTCAGGTACTTCTTTACTTGTTATGAGAAATGATATTTACAAGTAATGGATCTAATACCTCAAATCAGTTGCTAGTCTTAAGACTATTATGTCTGGACTTACTGTTTTCTACTCTGTTAAGTGTGGTACTACTTTACCTGATTTAACTTTTACTTTAACTGATGTCAATGGTGTTGATAGAAACTACTCTCTTCCTTCTTCTTTCTACCTTGTTAAAAATGGTAACATTTGCATCATTGGAGTCTAAGGTGGAAGTGTCACTAATGATGTCCAATTCCTCTTGGGAGATGTTTTCATGAGAAGATTCGTCTCTGTTTTTGATTACACTACTCTCTCCATGGGTAATATTATTATTAAAAATTTTTTTATGTAAAAAAAATCTAATTTATTAAATTTTTTATATTAAAAATGAATAGGTCTTTCTCAATCAGTTGCAAACCCTGCTAACGCTCCCAACAAAGCTTAAAAGCACTCTATTGAAAGCACCATTGCTTTAGGTTTAGCTTTAGTTGCTATTGCTGGTCTCATTTTCTTAACCATTAGAGCTTTAAGAAAGTGAAAAAAATTTAAATTAAAATATTTTTTTAAAATGTATTAATTATAAACAAATAATATATTTTGTAATTTTTAACAAATTTAAAATATAAAAAAATAATAATTAATTTATTTGTTTTTTTCAATTTTTAAAATTAGATTTTTGCATTAGAAAATAAATATAAAACTAATTAAATAATTTATTTTTGTTTTTAGTTTATTTATTAGATTTTTTTTGAAGTTAATAAATTTATGATTAATAATAAATATCTAATTTTTTCAATATTTTTTATTAATTATTATGTTTTGTAAGAAAGTTTTTGATTGAGAAATAGGTAGAAAATTAGATTAATGCATCTATATTGAATATGTAAAAAAACAAAATTAAATACATATTTGATATTTTTTTTTTGCATATTATTTAAAAGTAAGTCTTCTTAATAAGTTATAAAAGATTAATTTTAGGTTTCAAACGAATTAGCTCTTTTTAACTTTTTAAACACAAAATTCATTTAATTCACTGTATTTATTTCAATAAAATTATTTTTATGCTAACTATTGAACAAGCATTCAAGGAAATAGAACTTTTAATTCTTCTTCTTCTGTGTACGTACTTAAATTGCAATTTAAAAAGTAAATATAAATTATTCAAGTAATAGAATTATTAATTGATATAATATTTGATAAATTCTTTCATGACTTTTCTATTAGAAACAAATTTCAATTTAATCTTTTATAACAAAAATCTAATAAAAGTGTTAGAATGAATCTCGCTGTAAAAGAAATAATATCTATATTTTTTTACTATTTATCAATTGTGTGATTTTCAGATATTTTTTGTATTTACATTATTTATTTAAGCACATAATTATTGTAATTTTCAGATATTTTTTGTATTTAGACTATTTATTTAGGCATATAAAATTATTGTAAATAATTTTTATTATTATTTTATTAGGTCAAATAAATTTAAAAATTATAATGTATTTATTTAAAATAATTGTTAATTTGCTGTAATGTTTTGATTTAATTACTCAAGTATTACTAAATATTTCATATATTTTAAAAAATTTAATAATAATTACTATAATAAATAAACTAAAAAATAGTAATTTATCTGTATTTAAACCGAAAAAATGTTTATATCTCAAAAAGTAGAACTTCATTATTGAATAATTGTTTAAAAGATGATATTTTTGTGAAAATAAATACATGGTGACTTTCTAAAAATATCCATTTAATTTTCGATTATAATATCAATAAATATTAATATAAAAGAAATTTCAGTCTAATTTAGAAAAGAATTTATAGCAAGCCCTTTAAGGGCTTATTTCAATAAGGTTTTTGATTTATAGTAAATATTTAAGAAAATATTAAGTAAATTATAAAAAAATAAATGAATAAAATCGGATCTTTGATTTTTGTTTTAGTAGCATTAAACCTTGCTACTTCTCAAGTTATAAAAATTCCTATTGAGAAGAGAATTCCTGAGACTGAAACCAACGGTAGCTTCTTAGACGATGATTAATAAGTTGCTGTTGCTTAGTTAATTAATCATGACCAATATATGTATTCAGGTAATATTGAGGTTGGAAATTCAAAATAAACATACACTGTTGACTTTGACTCTGGCTCTAATCTTTTATGGTTAACCAGTAAGAACTGCCCTTCCTGTGTCGTAATTTTGTTATTTGATTGAAAAAGAATTTTAATTATAATTTTTTATTTAAATAAATAAATAATAGAAAGACGGATATAAGCACAGTTATGACTGTACTCCAGAAGATGGTTGCACTTTAACAACTACTCCTGCTTAAGTTACATATGGAGATGGATCAGGTGTTAAGGGACATATTGCTAAGGTTCCAGTTAGTATTGCAGGAATTGCTCCAGTTACTGAAGCTCTCCTTCTTGTTGAACAATCAATCAGAAATGGAAATTTACAAGTAAAATATTCAAACTTAAAAAACTAATTATTTTTATTTAAGTAAATTGATTTTTAATTTTATGTTTCTAATCTATAGGCCGATGGTTTGATGGGTCTCGGTGTCTACGATGAAAATAACACTGGTAATGTTGCTTTTGTTAATTAACTTTTTAAACAAGGATTAATTACTAAGAGTTAGTTCAGTTTCTATCTTGGTTTTGGTAAAACTGAGTCTGAACTTACTATTGGAGGTGTTGATGAAAGTAAACTTGCTAACCCCTCAGAAATTTACTATCATCCTCTTGTCCTTAATGGTAGAACTGATGATAGCTAGAGATGGAGAGTAGCTTTTAAATCTATCTCTTTCGGAAACAAATAAATCCCAATGACTTCATAAAATACTGGTATTGTTGATTCTGGTACTAGTTTAGCTTACATTAGAAATGACATTTACAAAGAATGGATTAACTATCTCAAAACAATCACTAAACTTAACCCTATTTTTTAAGGATTATCTGTTTTCTATTCAGTTAAATGTGGTACTACTTTACCTGATTTAACTTTCACTCTTACCGATGTTAACGGTGTTGATAGAAACTACTCACTTCCATCCTCTTTCTATATCCTTAATTAAAGTGGAACTTGCATTCTTGGAATTCAAGGTAACTCAGTTACAGGCGATTTACAATTCTTGTTGGGTGATGTTTTCATGAGAAGATTCGTTTCTGTATTTGATTATACTAGCCTCTCTATGGGTAAATTTCAATTAGCATTTTTCAAAATAAACATTTTTTTTCTTCTTAAAATTTAAAACAGGTCTTTCTGTATCAGTTGCAAACCCTGCTTCTGCTGTTGTAACCAAAAATCATAGAAATGGTCATTTAGCTCTTTTAGCTATAGGTTTAGTTGCTTTAGCTGGTCTTATTTTCTTAACATTAAGAGCTTTAAGAAAGTGATTTTATACTAAATAATATAGTTACTTATTATAAATAAATTGTATTTTTATAAAAATATATGTTTAAACTATTTTTTTTATCTTTCAAACTAAATTAAACGGTTAATACAGTTGACTTTTCAACTTTATACTGACATATTTTTTAATATTATAGTTATTTCATATTTGTTGCTATCATTTTTCATTTTAATATATTAGATTTAGATTGTAAATTATAACTTTATTTTACTGATCATTTGTTTTTATTATCAATATTTATTGGCAAATATTAATTAAAAATTGAAGGTGGCTACCAAAATATCTTTTTAATCTCTATTATCTTGTAATTTAAGATTAATTTTATTTGAATTAGCATATTTAAGTAATATAAAATATTTTATTTATAAATTAATAAGATGAAAAACAATTTCTAATAAAATTTTAAAAATGTTTTTTTACATAAAAATGAAGTAATAAAAAAATGAAAGAATTGAAGGAATTTTAAAAATTTTAATGATTTAATTTTTATAAATTATCTTTAATTTGATATTATTGTAAAAGAATTTAAACAAGTAAATTATAATAGAAACTAAGGCTAATTTTTTATTGTAAAAGTAAATTTCTTTTGTCAGAAATGATAATTTTACCCTCTTTAAATAATAATTTTTTTAAATTAATAACTCTCTTTTAAATTAAGAATTAAGAATACTCAATATGAAAATTTTTACTGTATTTCTTTTGAAAATGATTGAAGAATAAAAGTTGACAAGATACTTAATAAAAAGATATAAATAAAAGAATTTGTTTATAATAGCTGTAAATTATGTACATTTTAGAAAAATTAATTTAAATTTCCTAAAAGCTTTTTATAAACTAAAATTCCTATTGATAAGAAGCTTTTTGTTTAACAAGAACTATTTATTATATTTTCTAATCACCAAATGATTTTATGAGTTAGGAAAAAAGCAATTTTATCAATAATTAAAAAAATAAATAATTGATAAAATATTAATAAATAAGACAGTGCTATGAGGTTTGCATACTTACTATTGGCTCTTATTGTTTTACAATATTCTTATTGTAATATTGTAAAAATACCTATTAAAAAGAAAATTATTGTTGATAACGAAAACTAAGCTATAGATCCTTTAGTTAATTTTAACAACTTTATGTATGCAGGAGAAATAGAAGTTGGAAAAAATAAGCAAAAGTTTTCTGTAGATTTCGACTCAGGATCAAATTTGCTTTGGTTAACAAGCAAAAATTGTCCCACTTGCAGGGTAAATTTTTAAAAAATGCCATAAATCCTCATTCCTAATTAAAGCCAGTATAAACTAATAAAAACTACTGAAAAGCTTCAAAAAAGCTAAAATTTTGAATACATTTTTGAAAATTTACCTTAATTAATTAAGATTTATGGCTCAATTAAATTGAATTAATGAAAAATCATTTTAATAATTAAAAAAGTAAGCAGGATACAACAACTATTACGATTGTAATACTAGTGATGAATGTGAAATAACTAACAATTATACATAAGTAGCTTATGGAGATGGATCTTCAGTAGGAGGTTTTATTGCTAATGTTCCTGTAGGCATAGATGGATTAGGTCAAGTTATTAATTCTCTCTTACTTGTTTAAGAAACAAAAAATAGTGATAATTTAAAGGTTGGATTTAATTAACTTTAAAAATTTTAATTTAAATATTATCAATTAAAATTAAAAGTCTGATGGTTTGATGGGTTTAGGAATTTATGATTCATCAAATAAAGATAATGTTTCATTTGTAAGCAAGCTATATTAATAGGGCCTTATAGATAAGGAGGAGTTTAGCTTTTATCTAGATTTTGATTAAAATGGGTCTGAACTAGTTTTTGGAGGTTTTGATGAAACTAAGGTTGCTGACCCTTCATAAGTTTTTTATCACCCAGTTTTATTAAACGGATAACAAAATTCCAGTTAGAGATGGGTATTTTCTCTAAAGTCTGTATCAATCGGAGAAGATAACATGGAGTTATAGAAAGAAGCCAATTTTGCAATTGTTGACTCTGGTACATCATTGATTGCAATAAGAAACGACTACTTTAGTGATTTTATAGGTATTTTAAGATAAAATTTCGAGATATCTACAATTTATGCTGGTACTAGATTTTATAGAGTGTAATGTGGTACAAAATTACCTGATCTTACCTTTACAATTACCGATAGCTAAGGAGTCGATAGAAACTATTCTATACCTTCTGAATTTTATGTAATTAATGTTAGTGGAATTTGCGTAATAGGAGTTTAACCTCTCATGGAAATGGATATTTAATTCATTTTAGGAGATGTTTTCATGAGGAGATTTGTTTCAATTTTCTCTTACTAAGACAAAACTGTTGGTAAACAACAATCAATTACTTACTAGTTTTACATTTTAGATTTTGTTAATCTTTAATTTTATTTAATTTAAAAGGGTTGGCTTAGTCTGTTTCCACACCTCCAAATTCTAATTAGTATATAAAAGAGTAAAATAATCTTATTATAAGATTAACTTTAATCTCTGCTGCAATAATCATTGTATTTGGATTATTATATAAATTTAAAAATAGTTTTTGAAAATTCTATGTTTTTATAAGTAAATATATAAATAAAATTATTACATTTATCCAAAAAATCTTGAAAAAAACTTTTTATTCTATGGGTTTACTTTAAATAGTATTTTAAAAAAATAAATTAGTATGATAAAATAAGCATAAGTAAATAAAGTTAATACAAAGATTAATTATATTAAATTAACACATTAAATTCATTATAAATTCTTCTTTTTAAAAGATAATATTAAAAATGCTATAAAGTTAAATAAAATATAGAGCGTAGCAAGCATACCCACACAAACCCATTTGTTTAAATCTAGATTTAAGTATAGAATAGGATTGTATAGGAAATTTGTTTATTCGAACTCATTTACTGCAGCTGCATTAAATGCATAAAATGTGGGTGTGATATATTAAATCCACCCTATCCAAGAAGAATAATCATTCCTATTTTTGAATAATCCACCAAATAATAGCTATGGTATTAAGAAAGTAGTGGCAAAAGAAATTGCTACTTTAGGTTATTCAAAAATTGACCCAGAGAGTATTCCAAATGAATTACCTACATTTGACTAAAGGATATAAACTAGCAAATAAAAAGGGAAAGCAGAAGCTATTTATTTGGTTTAATAAAAATTGTTAATTATTGCTTATAAAAAATAAATAAGAATATACTCGTCATTCCTACCATCCAGTAAACAATAAGACCCATGATTATAGGAAAAATAGAACATGTAACTATTTCAGGTATAATTTTAGAAAGAAAGTATGCTCCTGTTGTGTAAAGGTTTTAGTTCACTTCTTTTAAATAAACAGGGCGCTCTGCAGAAAAGTTGATTACTTATGGGGTTTCACTTTAGCTAAATTAACCAAGCATAATTACATATAAGAAAATAGCTATATTATAAGAGTCTGTATAAGAATTATAATCTCTACTTAAATTAAAATAGACTGCTCCTGTAAATAAGCTCATAATTATCACTTGCATAAATCTGGCATATATCATTATTTTATTTCTACTTAATAGTTTTATTTACCTAAGAAGTAGTTTTTTAAGCATGTAATGCTATGAAATTCTATTTATTTTATTTATTGAAGCAACAAAGTTAATTTATGTTAAATTATTTGAATTTAGCTTCAGTATAGTTTCATTTACATTTTATTCCAATTGTTAAGAATACTAATTTGTTAAATATTTAAATCTATTTGTTGATTGTTCTCCAATTTCACTTATTAAGCTGATGAAATAGTCTGCAGGGTTACTATATCTTGGGCATTTAAAGTTTATTGTGTTAAAGTATTCAATAATATTCTCTCTTTTTCCTTGATATACAAACTTCCCATCTGCAAGGAGGCAAACTCTATCAAATAAATTCCATATATCTGATGAAGGTTAGTGAATAGTAAAAATAATAGTGCAGTTATCCCTTTCTGCAATACTTTTCAGTAAACAAATTAATCTGTAGGAAGTGAAGGAATCTAATCCACTAGTTGGCTCATCTAGCACAAGAATCTAAGGCTCACCGAGCAATTCGATTCCAATAGAGCATCTTTTTCTTTCTCCACCTAATACAGATTAAAATTAAAAAAAAAAATATGATAGAAGCAAAATTACCTGAAATTCCTTTTGTCATTACATTACCAATAAGAGTGTTTTAGCAGTTTGTAAGTTAAAGTTTTTAAATTAAGTTGATAACTTTTTCAAATTTATCTTTGTCTGGAATTGATAATTTCATATCTGCAGCAAATTAGAAGTATTCTTTAACAGTAAGAGTTGGAAGCAAATAATCATCCTGCATAACATAACCAGCTAAGTTATTGAATTAAGAATAATTGTAGCTTCTGTTATTAATTTGTATTTATCCTTCTAATTCTGTGTTATGACTATTTCTATTTTAATTTTATTCATTAATTTACGTATTTTTTACTTAATTATTAATTATTTTACTAGATTCTTTTAGCAATAACATTTAATAGAGAGGTTTTTCCTGCACCGGAACTTCCAAGAATAGCATTTATACCTTTTCTAAAGTATCCTGAAACTTGTTTTAATATGTATTTATTTTCAATTAGAGATTTTTTAATCAAACTCTATTTTTTTTATTTATATTTTAATGATATATCTGTGAAACTGATAATCATTTCTCTGTTTTTGCTAATATTTTCCATTTTTATAAATTTTATATGGTAATTTTTGAATATAAATATATTATCAAATGTATATTTGGTTTATTAAAAACTTTTTTGATGAAGGATTTAAAAATCAAAACTTTAATTTCTAATCTTATTTTTGTAATCAAATCACTTTCTGATTAAAACTGCTAAGTATTCAATATATGGTGATATAAAAACATACAAATGAAAATTTTAAATACATTTGTGCTTAAATTATTGAAAAAAGTTAATTAAAGTATTATAATATTGTATAAAAATCAAAAAAAGTCATTTTTTTAATGTAAAATAATACCGGTTTAACTTACAATTATAAATGTTTTTTTTTTTATTGTTTAGCTTGGCAAATGAATGCTAACTTCTTATTTTTGTAATCAAATTAGAATCTTATTAATTCTTACAAATTACAAATATCAGAATATGAAAAATTGAGATTAAATAAAATAATCAAATATATAAGCCAATAAAGTATTTCTTTATTAAATTTTAATTACAAAATAAATCAGCCATAAGCCAATTCGTAATTTTGGGGGATTATTTTTTTTTAGTTAAAATTATAACACTTTTAAATTTACAGCTAAGATATAGTTTTGCAAAAGAGGATTGATTAATGAATATCAGAGAGTATGATCAAGTTAACAAAAAATTAATCAAAGGATTAAATTTTTGTTATTTTGATTAATGATTTGCTTATTTTTAAAATCTGTTGCCAAGAAAAATATTAAATTTATAAAAAAATAAGTATATTTCATTAAGATAATATTTATCTTCTGAGCAAAAATTTTAGTCTACTGCTAATTTCATAACTCATTTGCTTATACATTAACTTTTTTGATTTTATGAACATTAATTAAGTTGAAAAAATAATAAATCAATAAAATGCTTAGAGCATTGCAAATTTTATAATAATTTATTTTTTAATTTAATTTGCTTTTAAATATAAAAAACATTTCTAAAAATAGTAAAATTTTATTGACATAATCACAATTTATAGACATATAAATAATACAGTTATGTTGAATAGTATAATCACAAATATAAATAAAAATATGGACAATTTAAAAGTATTAGCGCATTTTTAGAATGAGTTATGTTGTTTGGAATTTATTGTAATTTAAGGGATATGATGGTAAAATGGGTGATTTTTTTATTTTATAGATGTTTAAAAATTTATATAAATTTATTTATTTTGTTTATTTATTTATTTATATATTAAAGCCAAAAGTGTAAGAAATTAGTTTTAACTAATCAAAATTTTCAAAATTTAGAATTAAATCAGCTTAAAGATGTCTTTGAAATGATTTCGAATAATTTTAAAAGATTGTTTACTTATTAGATTTTAAGTTTGAATGGATCTCATGGATATTTACAGTGCTAAATCCTTGGTAATTAAGCTGTGATCATTAGATAAGAAGAGTAAAATTTATTATTATTTTTGTTTATTTGGATATGTATTTATATTATTTATGTGTGAAGGTTAAAAGTGGAAAAAATAAATAGTTGAAAAAGAGAATATTTTGTATTTCAATTAAAATCAGTTAGGTTTTAGTTATATCTATCTTACATTTCTATCTCAAGATCATTATCAAATAAGTCCTTTTTCTTTTTTGATCCAAAGCATGCTTTTATATTGAAATTTGAGAGTGAGTCTTCTATTGCATCATCTAAGTCATTAAAGAACTCATCTCTTTAAGAAAGGTTGCTTTTAATAAAAATTAATTTAGTTGAAGATTCAATTAAAAATAATTAAATAAAAATTAAAAATATAAATTTAATTAATTTTTTATTGTGATTAAATAAATATCAATCAATTAACACAATTACCAATTTAGTTATTCTTTTTCATTGTTATAAGTACAATAATATCCTGGATGCTAGTTACCGTAATTGTCGATTCCATTATTAGCCTAATCATTTACGTCAGTAGAAAAATTGGCACCTAGATTATTTTAGTAATCAGGGATGGGAAATGGTTATGAAGGAATGTTATTATTAATATTATTGTTATTGTTAAGTTGGGTAAAGTTAGGCTAATAAAAATTTGCAGGGACAGAGTTATTTCTATTCAGACGCAAGCTATTGTGTAATACTTACTAATCTCTTTTGTACAATGATTGAGGATCTTAGCTATATTGATGAGTTAAGCTCATGTTCAGACCAATATTTTAGTAATGGGGGTGATTTGCACTTGTCTATAGACTATTATGATAAATATTTTCTTGGTTATCTCCGCTTAAGTAGAGGGAGGAGGTTGTTTATTCAGTTGAGTTACAATCGTTATTCGTTGTATTATTGTTAATATTAGAATTTTAAGCTAAACCTATCTAGTTTTCGTAGTTCTAATATGATGCTTTTTAATAAGGCTTACCAGTGTGGAGTGCATTACGATCCCAAAAGCGTTAGTTGTAATGAGGATGTGGATGCTGGTTCTAATAAGGGTATCCAGGTGCAGCTGTTGGATAATACATATAATATCCCTCAGGGTGAGGTTGATTTGGGTAGAAAATTTGTTATTTCATAGGATATCTCTGATATGGTATATTTCCATACTAAAATTGATGATGGGGATTAATTTTTTAATTTATTTACTAAGGCGTTTAATTTTAATTTGGACGATTAATATTTATTTATGAAGCTGTGGGAGTACTTGTTGCCGTATTAAAGGTACTGCTTGTTTATTTTTTAGTATTTTAGTTTTGTTCTTCTAAGAAATTAGCAGAAGTGCTTTCCTTATTTTCAACAGCTTTGTTGCTGACTTCTTGGTTAGCATCTTATTATTCATTATTTTGCTTCTTTTTTTAAGCCTGAGAAGATGATTTTCTTTTAAATTCTTATTTGGGTAAATCACAAATTTGCTAATCTAAATTGTTGTCTTTGTTAATAAGATTATCTTCACAAATTTCAGAAACTTACTCAGAATTATCTTATTATATTTATGTTTCAGCACTTTGTTTAATTAAGAGATTTTCTTCAATATTTTCTGCTTCCATCTCAGAACTAGCCCTTTAATTACTTTCTTTACTATTATTTACATGTGAAGTAAAGGAGTGCTTAGTAAATGACTAGGGAGAGTCCTTACCAGAGTGGGATTGATGATTACTTGACTACTTTAAAGTTTTTAATTCCTTCTTTAATTCACTTTTTATGAATTAAGGATTTATTTTATATTAAAGATTCTACTTCAACTATTCAATATTACTCTTGTTAATTTATTCTTGCTTTTACCTCTCTAGATATTAAAGACGGTACTATAATTCTTTTTTAGAGTGCCTTTATTTATTTAAGAAGTCGAATAAAGACTAATTATTCTAGGCTCCAACTAAATCTTTAATAATGGTTTCTTGTTCTGAAAGTACCTACTAGATGTTAGTTATTGATTCAGAGTACTCTTCATCTTTTGGCAAGCGAATATTTATCTTAGAAACGGTATTCAAGTTGATTTAAGATTGCTTTTATAAGAAGGAAAGCATTTTTGGAGGTAATTAGCTCTTGCATTTTTACATAGACTCTAAGACTGCATTTTTGAATTGTCTAATATAAGGGTTAGCTTAATTTTAGGAAGAAGCAGTATGCTAACTTCTAGAGTGTTATTATTATTATTATTATTATTATTATTATTGCTACATCCCTGTCTATTAAATTGACCCTAAGCTGCTCTCTTAGTCTTATCTCTTCTTCTTAGATTTATTAGATGAGCCTATTACCTTTTTTTTTTTACTTGCTGAATTTTAAGTTTCATTCTATTCTTGCATTTCATATTTAGAAACTAAAGAAAGATTTTTGTAATCCTTCTTTATTTTACGTGAAGATCTTATCATGGGAAGACCTTATTCAGTTTATGTCTCCAAAGATTGCGCTTTAGATTTCGATTTAGATTTATTAGGCTTAGGAGAATTCAACAATTAATTTTTTAAATCTGTACAAACATGATTATTATCCTCAGATATGCTAGAAAGGTTATTTTATGAAGAAGCTTCCATATTTTATCTTTCTTTCATGTCCTAAGAATGAGCTAATGATTAAGATGAAGCCAGATTCTCTTCAAGATTATCTTCTAATGAAGATGTTGAATTATTTGATTTCATGCTCTGAAGAAGTCTTAATTAGTATAAATCTGAGGGGATTTACTTACTTGATTCAAATTACTAGGATCTCCTGAGAAGCCTACAGAATTTATTGAAGTATTTGTTTGAGTAGATAGTATTTTCTATTATTTTTTTTCTATTGTTTTTACCTTGAAAATTTATAGGTATTTAGTTGTTTTCTTAATATTTGTTTTCTTGATTTTTGTTTCCTCTTTTTTTAATAAATAGAAATTATAATGACTTTTTGTTTGATATTTAGGGGTCTTTTGATTCTTTTCCAGTCTCTTTGTAGGAAAACAATTAAAGAAACAAACAATTCTTATTATTATTAAATGATTTACAAAGCTATAAATCCTAATAAAGTTGATGACAATTTATAGCCATTTCATTTAGTAATAATTTTTATATTTGGCAGAAAAAATATATCTTTATTTCCTTTTATTTTCAATAAATTGCTTTAAAAACAGCTATATCATTATTTTTATTTACCTAATAGCAACAATTTATTTACTTCTTCATATCTTTTTTAATATTTTAAAAAATTCATTTATTTTATATTCATTCATTCATTTATTATTTGTTTGTTTGTTTGTTATTTTTTTGCTCTCCCCATCTAATTTAAGTTTCACTGAAAAAAATAAAAAATCTAACTTAATTAATTTATAGGAACCCTTTTTAATTTTTAAAATTTAATTAATTTTTTTTATCAACACCTCTTTTCATTCATTTAGCATTTTTTTTCTGTTAAATTCAAAAAAGACTACTTTTCCCTTTTAGTTCTTTTCTTTTTAAAATTATGATATATTGATTGTGTTGTGTGTGTGTGTAAATTATATTTTCAAAATTTTAAATAAATAAATAAACAATCATATGATATTATCTAAAATGTAAATTTTAAATTAAATACAAGATCAATCAATAAATTAATCGCTTACAAAATTTAAATATTATAATACGACATATTTTGATTTAAAAAAATATTCCTCTTTAAACTCTTCTCTAAATTTTTATAGAAAAAATACTTTCTGTATTAAAAATGTAAAAAGTAAATCAAATTAATTTTAAAAGGTTTTAAACTTTGTTTTTTTGACTAATAAGATAAAATGTATTTTTAACTTTAAAGAGTTTCTCAAGAAATAAAGAATTTAAAAACTAACATCAGATTTTTTGTAAATAAACAGGATATTGGAATAGTATAGAAAAATTGTTCTATTATCATTTAAATTTTGGAAATTAATAAATTGGTGTGTTAATGTCAAACAATAGAAAATATGACAAATATTTGTAAAAACTTGTTGGAATAAAAATCTAATTATGGTAAAAAAAAGATAAAAATAACTTGTAAGTTTTAAAAAAAATAAACCCAAAAATGATCAAATAAGAAAACTAAAAGATAATAAAATAATTTAAAAATAAATAAATAAAAAATTGGTAAAATATTGAAAAAAATAAAATAAAAATAAATTAAATGAAGAATGGCAATTAATTATTATGCCATTTTTCCATCGTCGCTCGACTTATATGGATACGGAGGATCTAGATTACAAATTATACTACGATTATACTTAATTATCAATTTATGAAGCATTTAAGTTTTATTATTAAAATGTATTATTATTTTATTAAGATTGGATTTCTTATGAAATTAAAGAAATTTCTTAAGGTGTGAGATAATATGTGGTCTTTGATTGAGATTTGTCGAAACACTCTGAATTTTGATTCAAGATCTTTTGTATGTTTTCCTTCACCTTTCTTTGATCTGTTTCATTTCCAAATTTTTTCAAATAGAGATAAACAATTTCATCCAGTGTGCCTTTTCTTTCTTATAATTATGACAGAACATAAATTAATTTTTACTTGTATGAGGAGGAAGGATCTATCTCGACTACTTGGACATCATCTTTTAAAGAAAAAATTCCTTTTCTTCTCTAAAAGCTCTAGCTGCTAAGTAATTATTTTGCACTTGTCTCCCATGCACTTGATAAACCTCCTTGGTTATTTGAATAATACCTCTCCTTCATTTTTTTGAGAATTTCATTTTTAGTTCCACGTTGATTCTCTAATTCAAAAAGACAGTTTTTCAATTTACTTTCTATCTTCATCATGTTTAAATTAGTAGGATTATTATTCATTCCTGTGTTTATAGTGCCTGATGGGAAGTTTCTATTATTACAGTCTGCAATATTCCTACTTACCTAAGAGGAAAACTGACTGCTTGCTTAACTTATTGGAAAAGATGATACTTGATTAGAATACTCATTTTAAATATCTGTATTAAAGTAATTATTTTTACGAAGCTTTTATATTTTTGAATAAATTGATTAAATTGATCTGTTAAATTTTTTAGTAAGCTCTTCCATCACAGAAGGTGGTATTTTTGACTGATACTCCCTATATTTTGCCATCAATTCATTAATTTCTGATTTTTTCCATTGCTTTCTTTACGCTTTTTCTGTATTAGAAATTTTTTGCTGAGGAAATGGAAGCGCATCATCTTCCTCATCTATTTATTCAGTTTTTGTTTCATTTTTCATATTCACTTGTTACTGCTACTATTAGATATTATGACTATAATTCTAAATTATTAATTAGTTAGTAAGATTATATGCTAGATAAATTAAAAGATTACCTAATTATTATTTAATTGAGAGATATTCTAATTTTGATTCACATTTTGTAGATTTAATATAATTGAGTCACTTCTTTTTATTTTAAAAATTGAATAAAACAAATAATCTCCTTGGAGATAAAAAATATAAATTTAATTAAAAATTAATATCAATTTAAGTTAGACTCAACTTAATGTGTCTACATAGAAATTAATTAAAGAGAAATATATTTTTCAGAAAAAGTAAGAGCAGTTTGCTAAAAAATAAAAATGATCAATAAATTTGTAATATTTTAATTGGTTAGTTGTTTTTTTTCATAAAATTAATTAATTTTTCATTATTTTAAATTAATCTTAAATATTTACTTTTAATAATTTTATGGATGAGTTTATGAATTCTAATTTTAATTGAGCATAGAATCGTTAGGATTATTGAATAAATTAGTTCTGACATCTTCTAAGTTTTTGTTAAATAATGAGAAGTCGTCATCAATAATACTGCTGTCAAATTTCTAACTTGGCTGAGAGTATGTTGTTGGAGAAGTAGATCCGTTTTCTTTTTTGATATATTAATGATTCTTTTAGCATAAAGACTACTCTCTGAAAAGCTTCATAGTAAATTTATCATCACATTTATATATAAATTAGAGTAACTTTTCTGCCATTTCAATACTAAAACGACATACGAAGGGTAAAAGAGTTTTACTGTCCATTCTTTTTTGGTCAAGCAATAATTTAAGACGTTATAAAAAAATTTAATATGACGAATTTAAAAATTTTTAGAAGTAGGAAGACTCTTAGTTGTAACTAAATTCTAGAGCTATATAGTTTCTCAAGTTATTCATTAAAAAATCCTCTCCGCTTGTTAATTCTGGATACTCATTTGGATCTTATTTATCTAAAAAATCATCTACTGCAAACGTAACCTTATCTAAAAACGAAGTACTGCTCCTTTAGAAAGCATTTTTACTTGGGCCTTTATTTGAAGTGTCCTGTCCCTGGTGGTTATTATTTTAATTATTGTGATGATTGTCAATAAAATCTTAATGGGTGTTTTATTATAAGTAGCCAGATATAAAATCATGCAAAAATTGTTGATCATCATTTTACTTTTGCTAGAGTGAAGTTAAACCCTCAATTTTTATGGAAGATGATCCTGCTTATTACTGCTACTCTTACTAATAATTTATGCTTTAGTTTTATTGCATGTTGTCATTGTTGATTATAAAATGCTATTGATTTTGTTTATATTCTTTAATTTTTAGGCTTTAAGCTTAGTGTGTAGGAGGTTATTAAGGAGATTGAAATGGAGATTTTTATAAATCATTCTAAATAGAATTTTAATTATCATTAAATACACCGTTCTTATTTTTTTCATCGAAAAAATGCCCAATATAAAAGTTAGGGTCATCACAAAAATTATTGGATTAAGCAGTATGTCTTGGGAGTTCATTTTCTAAAAGCATAAAACAATTAACTCCTTATAAAACTTTGTTTTGAGTATAAAATTCATTCAACTTTCTATTCTATAAGCTTTCTTCTAAGATATTTGCGAGTAGAGGATAGTTTCTATTTGCGTCCTCAGATATTAAATAATTGCTTTTTTAGTTAGGAAAGTAACCAGCTTAATTAGAAGTATTGGTTATAATATTTGGAGATTAAGATGTAGAGATAGTTTAAAATTGCTATTATTGTGTATTGTAGCTTTAATGTTGTTGTTATTATTATTATAGTGGTTATTATTGTTGTTGTTATTGTTATTACTATTGGAGTTATTACTATTAATTAAGTTAAATTTGTTAAAAGTTAGGTTAATACTATTATGGTTAAAGTGATGATTAGTGGGAAAGTTGGCATTATTGAGCCATATTGAAATGAGAATTTTCTTCACTTGATTAAATAAATTAAACTTAGTTTTATTGTTCATTTAAGTTGTAAAGTTCTTCTAATTACATTTCTTAGTCAATGTAATCCTAGGGTTTAAATTTATCTGAATTTATAGATCTAGATTATTGAAGCTAGCATTGAGAACTCCCTTCGTAATTCTATCCCAAATTCTAAATAACAGGTTGATTGATCAAATCGTTATTGAATTAGTCGTAGTTATGAAAAGAGTGTATTTCTCGCTAGAAAAATAAAGACTAATTTTCATCTTCTGCCATCTATCAAAAATTTAATAAATAAACAATTTAATAGGAATAGGATAAAAAATTTGATTTTCAAGGAAAAATTAAGATTATAATTATCCAGCTAATTATTTCGCTATATATTTTTAATTATAGATAGGCTTAACAAAATATGTTGTCTTATTTTTTTTGTTTTGTTTGTTTGTTCACTTAATAGCAAGATTCCTATTATCTTTTTCTCAAACAAAGATCTAATTGTTTATTTATATATTCTATGATTATTTCTGATCTTTTACTAATCATAACTCAAACTAAATTCTTTCTATTTTCGTCCTTTTCGTTCAAAATAACTGGATTTAATTTGTATTAAAATTCTAAAAAATATAATTTTATTTCGCTGAAAAAAAATGATAATTGACATATTTTATAATCTATTGCAAATCCTTTTAGAAAATATGAATTCATAATGAAAAAACCTTTCAAAATAGATCAATTATAAAAATAGATTTATTTTTAAGTGTTTGTTTCCTCAACAATTATTAAAGGTGGGCTAAAAAAATATCTTTCAGTTTTTTATTATTTTTTCATTTAAAAACTTTAAATAAAAATTATTTTATTTACAATTTTAATTATAAAATAAAAATAAAAGTTTAAGATTTTATTTTTGTTTTGAATATTTTCTAAATTTATTTTATTATTTTTTAATTTTTTTGATCTTAAATTGATAAAAAATTTATTCTAATTTATATGAAAATAATTTTTATATAAAACCAGTTTATTTTAATATTAGTATAGTTATTAAGATTTTAATTTAATAGATTAGATTTAAAAATTTTTTTTTATTTTAGAGAATACTTTATTTACAAAGATATTAATTATCATAACGCTGTTTATCAAATTAGAATATGATGATTCTAGGCAGAGAGAGTAGAGCTTTTATAAATTTTTGATTTAAAGTTTATTAAAATTGTAAATTCTTAATATTAATTCTTTCTAATTAATTGATATAATTCTTGCAGCATTTAAAATGCAGTGAATTCTGATGAAAGAATAAATATATATAGATAGCACTTTGTATTATGTGGCAATTAACTTTTTAGATATTTAATTTTTAAATAGTAAAATAAATAAATTAATTAATTAATAATAATAACTAAGTAATAAATAGTATCTATCAAACTCTATTATCATTTAATTTAATGTAGGGTAAAAATAATTACAGAAAAAATACAGCTCCTTAGTATCCAGATGATGAGAAGGGAGCTTACTACAGGTCTTCTGACTAAAACTCTGACCATCCTCTCTCCAGGATTAACTTTTGCATGGATTTTATTGAAAGTAATATTGATTAGTTGAATTTTCCTTTGATTATAATTTTTTTTTGATAAAAAGAAACATGCTTAAAGGGAGATACTTGCAAAAAAAGACATATTTATTATGCTTAACTTCGTAAAGAATTGAAAAGTATATAACCTCCATACAAAAAGCATCTTTGCTAACTTTATGAGTAGTAGAAAAAGTGTCCTAAATCAAAGTTCCTTTGCCTTTTTGCTCATGGAGAAAGTGACATATGGGTAAAAAGTTTTTTTTAATACCAACAAGATAATGTAATTAATTTTTTATAATTTAGAATTCTAGGTTCCCAGAAACTAAGGCTGAAACTATAAATTCAACAGAAGTTGATGAAAGAAAAAGGAATTAAAAAAAATAAGAGCCTTCAAGATAAAAACCAGCCCCTTAGTAATAAAATGTGCAAGCACCGTTAATAGGAAATAAATAAGAAGATCTCATTTAGCAGATTATAAAAATGAAGTAATAGTAAATTTAAAATAATAAAATTCAACCAGATGAAGGTAAAAAGAAGAAAGAAAGTAATGAAAAAAAACCTAAGAATGATAAAAAGAAATTTAAAGAACAAAGTATTGAACCTTAAATTAAAGCTGTAACAAGTTCAAGGAACAATAACAGGGAGAAAAGAAATATTTAACCATAATAAAATGGTTTAAGAGTTCAAAACAATTAAAGAAATTAAGAAGTAAATTAGAGTGCCATCTAGAAGAGAAATGGTTAAAGAACTAACAAATAAGGTGTTAACCCTGATGCCATGACTGATGAGCAATTTGATGATTACCTCTTATAGTTAAAGGAAGAAATGCTTATGAACGAGTAAGGAGAGGATAAAGACGATTACTCAGATGATAATGAAGATGAAGAAGATTAAAATGAAGGTTCAGATGAAATAGATAACAACGACCAAGATGTTTTTGATGATGAAAAGGAAGAATTAAAGGACTGTGTTTATGATTCAAGTAGTAATTCTGATGATAAAGATAATGATCTTTTTATAGATCATAAAAATAATTCTAAAAAATAAGCTTAAAAGAAGTCTGCTTCTCCAAAAGAAGAAAAAGCAGATAAGTCAAATAAAAGCAAAAATCAAAAGAAGTAATCAATTAAGAAAGAAGAAGAGGAGTAAGAAGAGGAAGAAAGCTGGGAAAGTGAGGAAGATTAAGATAATGAAGATGATGACGATGATGATGAAAAAGAAAAAAAGGATTCAAACAAGGTTGCTTAGAAATCAAAGAATGGAAAAGAAAATTAGAAGAACTAAAAAAATTTGACAGACTTTAAAAATATTGATTGGAAAAATCTTGATGAAAATAAACTTACCAACTAGCAACTGATGACTTTATATGCAACTATTTTGTAAAACGAAAATGAAGTAAACTCATAAGACGAAGAAGAGAGCGACGAAAATAATCTTTCTAAAGAATACAACTAATTGGATGAGCAAAAGCTAGAGGAAGAAAGATAAAAGAGAAAGCAGGAAAGGGCTGAGCTAAGAAAGAAAAAGAAAGAAGAAAAAAAATAGTAGAAGTAATTGGAAAAAGATAAAAAGACTGCATACACCTAGAAACTACAAACATAGAAAAACGACTCTCTTCCTGTTTAGTCTGCATCAAACGGAGGCAATACAAATAATTTCGCTTAAAATAAAGACCAATTCTTCTAATTTGATTAACTAGAAATATTTTGCTTCTGTTATTTTAATACTGAATCTGATTTGAAAAACTGGAAAGAAGCTCTTTTAGATGTTTTTTATGAATTACAAATACCCCGCAATGCTTTGATTATTACAGAAGAAGATAGATGTGAAGGAGAATTCGGTGTGCTAATCAAATTAAAAAGTTTAAGAGTTGTTTGTTTACAACTTTTGAGAATAAATCTTTATAAAACTCAGAAATTGAAAATTCTTTTTAAGATCGTTGCAAATCCAGATTCTCAAATATCATTCTCTAAGCAAATTATAGCCACTAAAAAGCTAAATGACTATTCTTTTTAGGGTTAAGATGGCTAAACATATATTATTTTTAACTCTACTATTGATCACTCTGAATCTGAAAATTTGGAGTTTAAAAACTATGACTTTAGAAACTATAATGAAAATACTCGTAAACTTGAAGAAGTAATAACAGGTGATTTATTAATATTTATAAATTTAATTAAATATAATTAAACATTTTTTTAATTTAAAATAGGTATGCTAAATAGAGAAGAGTTTGAAAATGAATAATTCTACAATAAAGAATAAATTAGTGGAAGAATATTCTTAGGAGTTAAAGATGCAACTAGATAGTTTGTAGGAAGCTGTACTACAAATAACCATCATGAATCCTTCTTCACTTTCTTAGCTAAGAGGTTGAGAGACTGTTAACCAGCTGTTAGAGCTAATCTATACTAAAGAGAAGAATGCAGGCTAGTTATTCCAGGAGAAAACGAAAATGAATTTTTCCCCATCCTTGACTTGAAAATCTTTATAATTAATGTAAATAAACCTGAAAAAAATACCATTTATGCTACATCAAGTGGTCTTTACTTCTAGAAAATAGAAGAAGGAAACTGGCCAATGAGCGCTTGTTCTTTATATGAAAAAAGACAGAAAAATTATATGTCTGAAGAGAAATTTAAATTGGCATTAAAATAGTTAGACAGAAGATATTTCTATGTTATGGCTAAAATGGCAAATCAAAATGCTTTAATTCAATCAGATTTTAACAACATAGACCAATCTTAATTTTGACATTAATTAAAACTTATTTCAAACATTATCAATAAAATTATGAAAAAAAAATAAAAATATCATATTTATACATATTATTAAAATTGCTTTACCATGTTTAATTGTAAAAAAGCAATCAAACATTATTTATCTATTTTTATATAAAGATGTAATTTAATTTTTAATTTTTATACAAGATTTTATTTTTTCGTAAAGTTTTTAATTAATATTTATTTATTTTATTTTATTGAAAAATAAACGAAATAATATCTTAACAAAAGCAATTAAAATGCTTATAAACTTTAATTTGAATATAATTTATTTATCAAAGTCATACAAAATTTCTAATGAATCAATCTTTAGCTCAAATTCAATATTTTTAATAAAAAAGTTTTAACTTTAAATATTTTTAAAAGCTAAAAAAAAGATAAAAATAAATTATTTTTATTATAAAGTATTATTATTTAGACAAAATTTAATTAGCAAAAAGATTTTTAAAAAAGTCTAAGTATTTTTAAGTGATAATACTTAATAAAGATTTTTGATTTGAAAATACTTTAAGAAATTTTATCAATGTTTATTAATCCTATTAATAATTAGTTGTAACCAATACAAATATTCTAGATAAAAAATATAATTTTATTAACTGATAATTATAAAATATCTCATATATGAAATGTATTATAGGATCTTCGTATTTTGTCTCTAATAATAAATTTACCAATTTTATAAATTTATGTTCTAATTATTTATTTTTAAGAATAATTCTATTTTAATAGCATAAAATAACAAATATTTTAGTATGATAAATTAATACGCAGTTTAAATGACACTTTTTACAAAATTTAGCATTTTAATTTAATCATTTTATAAATTTGCTTAAAACTAATTATATATTTTCAGTTAAAACTACTTATTGAATGCATACCAAGTTAAATTGTGAATAATAGCGTTTGAAGCCTATAAAATAATATAAACTAAACTGCTGACTGGCTATTTGAATGATAAATTTGTTATGTATATCAATATTTCAAAAAGAATAAGAGAAAAGTCAGAATTTCCTGATATAATTTTTTAATAATCAAATTTTTATAATCTATAAGAAATTTAATAGGAATAAGAAATAGTTAATTAAATATTAGAGTCAATTTTTTCTTTGTCTTTGTCACTTGAATATTCCTGAAAAAGGTATAAGAAAATTTTGAAAATTATTTTATAAAAATTAAACATTTGCGCTAAAACTAAATCCTAAATTTCTTATAGAGTAGTTACTTTGCATTTTTTTGATTGAGCAAAACAAATAATTAAGGGATAGAAGCATGTTTGGATAAAATTAGAAAAAATGCGCTCATGGCCAAGGAATTATTGTTTTTGCTAGTAAATTAGTTTATCATTTGCATTGCTTATATTTTTACGACTTGAACAAACTTTTATCTTTACAAAATATTAGATCCTTGCTTAAATGGACTGAATAAGTTAATTTATAATAGAAAGATTAAATAAGATCTTTAGTAGATATTTTGCACTAAAATGTCAGGCCTTTAATCTCTTTTATGCTAAGAAAAAGACAATTGCATTGATAGACTATTAATTGATAACTCCAATAATAATTTAAATAATTTAGATTCTTATAGCAATGGCTCTATAAAAACTTAAAAATCATCCGTTTCAACTAAATCATAGAATTCTTAAGCTTCCTCAAATAGCTTATTAGCTGTTGAAGATTTGCAGTAAAAGTATTTAAAAGATCTAAAATCTTAGTTAAAGAGTAATCTATATATTTATTTATTCTATCCTTTTTAATAATTTTAATAATATTTTTTTTTCGCTCTCTTTTTTCTGAATTATTTTTTTCTATCTTAATAATATCATAACTCTGTTGCAACAGTTTAATTATTTTGCTACTGAATAAAAATACTAAAAGAAATAAACCATCATTAAATACTATGTATGTTGTTTATGGATTTAATTTTTAGCAATCAATCACCAATATTTGTTTATTTATCTATCAGTATTTTAATTTTCATATTGAATTTAAATTATTTTTTTTAAATATTAGGTTGTATTCTAACAAAAAAGCCGCCTATAAAATTTAAGGATATAGCAGGAAATGATTATGCTAAAAAATGTATTGAAGAAAATTTTATACTACCCAGTGTTCTTCCTAATCTCTTTTAAGGGAAGCCAAAACCATTTAATAAAATTTTGCTATATGGACCACCTGGGGTGGGAAAAACAATGATATGTCATGCAGTGTGCAATGAATTGTAAGCAACTCCTTTTTGGGTTTCATTAGCAGATATAACATCTAAATTTATAGGAGAATCAGAAAAGTAAAACTATTCAAACTGAAAGGAATAATTTAAAAAAATATTAAACTAAAAATTTATCAGATTGCTGAAAATGCTTTTTGATTTAGCTAGAGAAAATTCTCCCTCAATTATTATTTTTGATGAAATGGATTCAATAGGAAGAAAAAGAAATGGAAGTGAGAGTGAAACAGAAAGAAGAATTAAAACTGAATTCTTAAAATAATTAGATGGTATTTAATTAATCTAAATTAGCATTTCAATAAAATCTTTCTTTCATAGAAATAAATAGTTTAGATGAAAAAGTTTATATTTTAGCAACTACAAATATGCCATGGGAATTGGATGTAGCTGTACTAAGAAGGTTTGAAAGAAGAGTACTTCTGCCGTTACCAAAAAAGCAAGCTAGATTGGAAATTTTTTAAAACTTTACAGGTAACAATTCTAAAAAATAAATAAATTGAATTGTTATTTTTAAAACAGAATCAAAGAATCATGGTTTAAAATAGCAAGATTTTGATTATTTATCAGATCTTACAGATGGGTATTTTGATTCCGTTTAATACCTATTATTAATTTAATAAATATAATTATAGGTACAGTGGATCAGATATCGTAACAATAATAAATGATGCTTTTATGAGACCCATATAAGAATTATAGACAACTAAGTACTTTAAAAAATTAAAGTAAATTATTTATGTAAATTTAAAGAAAGTTTTAAAAATAACATCAATGTTAAAAAAGAGGAAACTTACTTGAAAATTTTATAGAATACTAAGATTCATAAGTTGAAAGAATTTATTATACACCTTGTCTTCAATCAGATGAAGATGCAGAGGAAATAAATTTATACTAACTGGATCCAAAGCAAATAATTCTAAGAAAAGCAGAGATAGTAACTACAAGATTTATCAAGAGATTAATTTATTAATATTTTTATATTTTTTTAATAGAAAGATTTTAAGGAGAGCATTAAAAACTGTAAGCCAACAGTAAGTAAAAAATTCCTAGATTACTATAATAAATTTCTTGAGAAATGTGGTCATGTTGAATAAAAAGATGATATGTATAAGGATTAATTGAGATACATGACTTAAATATACTTTTGACCTTAAAAAAATTTATTTAAAAATAATTTTAATTTTTGAGTTTTAAAATAAAAATCAAATTATACAAGGATTGATTTCAAATTCCAATTATCAAATAACCACTAAATCAATTTAAATGATTAAATATTTATAATAAATAACTAATTAAATAAATAAATACTAATTAATATCTTTCATAATAAATAATCTATAACTTTTATAATTTTTCATATCTAATTAATTATTATAAAACAAAGATTAACTAAAAAACTGTAAATTCTACTACCTTTTTATGTTTATTTTTGAGATTTTTATTAACTCTTTTTATCGAGTGAAATTGATTTTTATGAATACTTTATATCACTTAACTATTTTATAAAAAATTACCATAATTATCTATAAAAAATTTAAGAATCAGAACATACAATAATTCAATAAATAATTAGAAATTGATATCTAATGTAATTTTCTTTAGGAGTAAAGAGCTTAAAAATTCCAGAATATACTTTAAGTTTTTATTTTATTGTTTGCTTTAATTTTATCAACAAAAAGCTATTATTTATCTATCAAAAAGATATCTACAAAAATTGATCCTCTTTTTTTATTTTAAGAATATTTTAAAACAAACCTAATTAAGTAATAAATAGTAAAATTAAATTAAAACACCAATCATTTAATTATCACAAAGCATAAATAATTTATATGAATAGCCTTTAAAGATAAAATAATATATCGAATTGGGAAAAATATTATTCTTATGATGTATTGCAATTATTACTTTAAAAAATAATAAAATATTTCAATTTAATTAAGGATATTTGTAATCCAGGTATTGGATAATATAGGCGATAGTTTATTCTAAAACATATAAGTAGCATTAATTAATATGCTTATAAGAAAATTAATTAATTAGAGATAGTTAATAACCAAGATCCAAAATTTTTAATTAAAAGGGGAAATTAAATTAGTAATAATTAAGGAGGAGAAAAAAATTAAATAATTAAAATGAAAGAAAAAGGAAGTAAATGAAAATAAAATGTATTAAAAATGTGGAAATTGAAAAGCAAATACTTCCATTTGAAAAGAGCAACATAATGAAATATTTAGCAAACAAGATGGGTTGGCGTGAAAATAAAATTAGAAATATTATATTGTTTTATAAATTTTAATTAAAATTAAAGGAGTTAAATTTGTGAGGTAAGACTAAAGGTTTAGACATAGGTGGGTCAAAAAAACAAATAGAAGTGGAAAATTAAAAAACAAAATCTTTTGAAAGATAAAGGAAAAAAATAAAGAAAAAAATTAAAAGATTATAATAATCAAAGAAACAATTTCATAAGTAAAATGGTTCACGTCTTAAAGGCCACTAAAATTAGAATTTACAAGCAATTATTGTAAGATGGTGTCTTCGTCTTGAAGAAAGATTTCGAAGGTCACCACGAAGAAACTGGTGTCCCCAACTTACACTGCTACATCTTAGTTAGATCTTTGAAGGACAGAGGTTTCCTCGAAGAAATCTTCAACTGGGGTTTCACTTACTACTACCTTAACAAGGAAGGTTGTGAATACTTGAAGACTAAGTTGGGTATTTCTGCTGATAATGTTATCCCCAAGACCTTCAAGGCCTCCAACGTCAACTTCATCTCCAAGGAAGAAGACGAAGAAGAAAGACCCAGAAGACAATTCAACAAGGGTGGAAGAACTGGTGAAAGAGATGGTAGAAACAAAAGAGGTGTTGGCCGTGGTACCAGAAGAGAAGGTGAAGAAGCTGCCAAGGAAGAAGGTGCTGCTGAAACCGCTCAAGGTAATCAAGAAACTCCTGCTCAAGAATGATTGTACTAGCCTGTCGTTACTTTTAAAAATTGATTATACATTAACATGTTAATAAAAATAGCTTAATAAAGTTTAAATTGACCATATCTGGTTTATTAGGGAATTTATGATAGAATTAGCATGTAATATTTAAAATTTATTAGTAAAAGTAAATATCAATTAGAAATTTTGGTATTTAGCATCATATATACATTTTTTTAGTATTCCATGGTAACTAATATGTGTATTCTACATCAAGTTATTTAAACTAACCTTTTATACAAAGTCGCCTTACTTACTACTCAATCAATCAATCACTCAATTACTCAATCTATCTAACTTAATCAATTATCACACCTTTTAAAACTGCTGATAATTCAAATAATCAATAGATTTCTATATATTATTATTAAAATATGAAAATAGCATCTTAAAATAGCCCATTTCGTAAGCATTCAATTCATTTTAACAAAAGGAATAGAGAGCAATCAAAATTAATATTTTTATTGGATATTTTATCACTAAATTATACTTACTAAATAAGGATATTCTTAGAATTACTGCAGTCATGTATATCAATCAATCAATCAGTCATCTAATCAATTCTATCTAAATTTATAGAAGAATTTAATTAGTTATAAATAAATAAATATTTACACTAAATATAAACAAACTAAATTATCGTATTTATGTAACCATTTTTCAAAAAATCATTTTAATTTTGTTACTTTGAAAATGCAGCCCAATTATTTTTTTGAGTGATTAATAAATTTTTTTTTTTGGGTCATTTGCATAATTTTTAGCCTAAACAAACAATCTAAATCAAATCTAAAATAGGCAATCAAAGTATTTAACAAAGTATCAATTCACATACATTTTCAAGCTAAAATTGATTATGAATGAATATAAATAGATATCAACATAAAAATAAGAATCTTCTTATAAAAACTTATAAAATAGTTGCTTTTAAATGAAATTTATTCCAACAAATTTAATTTAATTTAAATTTAATCAATATTTCACTTTTCGCTCTAAGTTATATGGGCATTTAAAATATGTTATTACCAAAATATTGAATTAAAATAAGCATTTAGAAAATATAACCAAAATCATTTATTTAATAACATATTTATTATTTTGTAATTCTAATAAAAATTAGAAGAATATTTTTAAAAGGAAGATATTTCATTTTTTTTCTAAAGATAATAAATATTTAGTTAATAAATTAATTAGTAATTAACTTATTTTTCTAATTTAGTTATAAATTTTGTTTTATTTAAATTCAAACACTCATTATCAAAAGATAGATCACTAATCAAAGTAGCAGAAATATTGTTAAATAATAAAATGAGTAATAAAGATTGAATTAGTAAATTTTAAATTTTATCAAAATCCAGTAAAAATTTATTTCTAATCTACAATTAATCTATAATTATTTTTAAAAAAATAAATTAATAAAAATTGATAAGTAAAAATACATATCAAATAAATATTGACAGCTTTTCATATTATTATAAAAAGAATAATTTATGCATGCTTTATAAAAAGCAATTAAATTCCATTTTTATAAAAAGTAAATATATAAATATAGAAGTGAATAAAGTTTTGTTTGTTTTTTAGATTATAAAAATTTATTACAGCATATTTAAATAAAACTAAAAGATTTCGAAGTTCTAAATCATAAAATATAAAAATTAATTTAACAAAGTTTTTAATTATTTGAATTTTAAAGGTTTTCAATATAAATGAGAGATATTTAATTTTTAGTTAATTGTTTTTATAAACTTTTAAAATCATACAATTACATTTTTTAGTAAATAATCTTAAAAATTATTAAGTTTTTATCAAAGAAAATGATAAACTAAATAAATAAACCAAATTTTTAAAAATATTTGCTAAAGAGATATCTATTCCTTAATTATTTTAATAAAGAGAGATTAGAATTGAATTTTTAATTTTGTATTTAACATAAAAATAACAATTAATTACTATTTATTTAATTTAATAAAACACAAATAAACACATTTCACAATAATCAGGCCTAATTTAAAAGATTTGATTTATTATTTTCTTATTAACAAAAATTTAAACTAACACTTTCATTTTATTTTGTTTTTATTCTAAAATTAATGTAATAGTATAAGCAGACTATTAAAATTACTAAAGGTCCAATGATGTAATTTAATTTACTATGATTAATAATCTTCGCCAAATTACTTTTTCTTGAAATTTAACTGAAACCAATCACTTAATTATCAATATCAAAATGTATATAAAACTTTTCCATAAAAGAAAAACCAAAAGTAAAAATTGTCACCTGTTCATTTACTTAAAAGAATGTCTTACATATTTAGTAATTATTAATAGAGTTTTTTGTTTCCTTCATTGATAAATAGTCCAATTAAAAATAAGATTTTATATTTTAGTTTTAATCTATTCTTTTGCATTCCCAGATATAATTTTCACCTTTTAAATGCAACTGTTACTGATCATTCTCAATATTTTAATTTCTGATTTCAATTTCTAAATCAGGAAATTATGAATCAATATGCTTTATACATTCTACTATATTACTTTTGTTTTTTTTACAGTAAATCTTAAAGCTTTTAAAAATATTTATAAAATCTTTAGATACTTTTAGAGGAATTTATATAAATAACTCTTTTGTAGATAATACACCAATATATTAATTGGTTTCATTTATTTAAGTGTCTGCATTTTCTGTTTTTAAGACTATGGAATTCTTTTAGTTTTATCTATTTTCATAAAAATGCTAAATCTATTTATTTCTTTACTCATATTATTCATTTTATTATTATTATTATTATTTTATGGTATATTAATTTTTACAATCGAACAAATTTAGACTTCCAATCTTTAAATTATCAAAACGGAATGAATATTAGCCTTCATAATTATGCATTTAAGTGTAGTTAAACTATCCTTAAAAATAATCCTTATTAAAACCTCCTACAACTACACAAGGTTATATTAGATTTGAAGGGTCAAAATATAAATACAGAGAAAATGAGTTCTTTTTAATGATATTTGAATTAATATACTCTTAAATTATGCTTCCTTTATTTTTTCCAAATGGAAATCCTATAACTCCATCTCTATAATTTTACTAAAAGTTTAAACTGTTCTAACTAAATTATCTTTCAATCTTATAAAATTCAAATGAGATATGTTTTTAATCATCTTAAAATTAAATAAAATCATAAGTTTTATTTCCTATCAGATAATTCATGCAACTACAATTTAAATCATAAGATTTATTCAAAGACATAAAGCAAGTAGAATATTTAAATCTTAAAATTTTATTTTGTATTTCTTATTAATTATATTGAGCTTTAACTTTGAGGTTATTGAATTTTTAAGGAGATTCTACAATATTTTCGCAATTTTAAAATAAAAAAGGGTTTTTAATTTTTGTCTCTTTCATACTACTCTGTATACTTTATGTTAAATCCTATTAAATATTATTCTTTTTTAAGTAGTAATCAACCTTTTTATCTTAATAAATTTAAAAATTAGGAGCTTTTATCCAATTATAAGGTTAATTTAAGTCAAATCCTACTAAATATTGTTATTTATTATTACCAAAATAAGTATGTATAAATATATGATCACTTAAATCAGTAAATACATAAGACGAATAAGGTATTTAACTATCTTATTTTTGCTTAAATTAATCTACATTTTAAATAAATTTATTTTTTAAGTCTTGAATTTAACTATGATAGTTTTATTTGTTTTTAAGAAACCTATTTTTGAATCCATTAAATTCTTCCTTGATAGTATCATTCTTATAATATATTATAAATTATTTAAATTAAGTGCTATAGTTCAATGGAATTTCTAAATTAGTTTCCTCTGATTCTACTTAAAATAAAAATCCTTCAAAATAAATCAAGAGAAAGCACAATTAAAAAAAAAATTTCATCTTGAATCTTTATTATTTTGTTTTTGAAATTTCTAAATTAAATAAGACTATTTGTGACTTACTTTCTAAGATATCTTTATTAAATAATTTACTTTTAAACTTAACATAAAATATAATATTTTTTTAAAATATCTTCATGTATTTATCTTAATTAATTTATTAATAAAAATCAAAAAACTTAAATAATAAATAACTTTATTTTTAGATATATATTCTTTATTTTGAGTTTTTTGTATTAAAATTAAATAAATCGATACGTTTAATTTTTATCAAAGAAGGTAGATATCATTATTTCTTAACTAATAAAATATAGTTAAATTCTTTTATGAAATACAATTAAAATATAAAATTGTCAAAAAATGAAAAACAAACCTCATTTATTATTAGTATAAAGAAATGATTATTTTAAAAGACTAGAAGAATATGTCTTAAAATCAATAATTAAATTTTATAAAAAATAGTAAATAAGAATATACATTTTAAATTAAGAATGAAACATTTTAGGTGCAATTAAATCTTTTAAAACTAGATTAAGTTAATTTATGAAAAGATTTTATTTTTGAAGTTTAGCTTGATATAAATAGTAATTTTTATTATATTTGGTTATTAAATTAAACAATTTTCTATAGATACCTGCATGTGTATCTCTTATGATAATCAAATAAGTCTAACAAACTCATTTATTTTTTATTCTTCAATCTTGAATTTTTATAATTGCATTTTTAATTATTAAATTAGTTTTTATTTCTCCACTTTGACTTATTCCTCTGTAGTTTCGATAGGTTCCTTTTCGGATTTAAAAAGTTTCAATAACTCTAATTTTATTAAGCCATCTGGTAATTATTCTTTATTCAAGTAAAATTATTATTTATTTAGCATTTTAAAAAATAAATTTACTATTTAAAATTAAAGAGTGCTTGAGATGAAGAATTCTGCCTATTGTTACTCCAATTTGATATAACTGTTCTTAGTCTTATTAATTCAATTAAATGATAACTCCCAAGCATCTAAATAAGAAGTCCAAAAAATTTTTTTATAATCACATATATTCTAAATAATTAATAAATACTTCAATGAATAAGAAATCAAAGAGGTATCCCTCAATTCTATCATTTTTTCAACTTCTTTTTATTCTACAGGTTCATTTTTTAGCATTCTTTTGTTTAATGTTTCTTGAATAATCATTCCCTTGCTAACATTTTCTTCTATCTTTGAGAAATATTAAGGTATTTCTATATACCCAATTTTAGAACTTAATGAAGAGCTAAGTTTTTAAAGTAGAATTTAATAAATTAAGCAAAATATAAAAGTTTAAATAAAATGTAAATAATCAAATACGCCTTAACGTGGAAGAAATCTCCAGAAAGTACTAGCTTTTTATTGCTTAAAGTTTTTTCTAAAATTTTAGCAACAAAGTAGTTTTGGTCCTTGATAATGTTCTTGAAATCTGTGTTGAAATTAACAAATTTTAAATAAAAAATCTTCATTTATGGCAGTTTAAATAATTTACTTGAGAGAGATGCGTGAAGGTAAATGGCTAAATTAACATTTTCAGTACAAACAGCTAAATCGATTAGCTAAGAATTTACTTTTTATTATTACAGGCTGTCTTAATTAGAACGAAGTAGCTTTGATAATTCAATTATAATCAATGAATATTTATGTTTTTAAGGATACTTAACATAATTGTAAATTGTTTTTAAGGCACTCATGCTACTTGGAATCTAATATTTAAAAAAATATTTTTTTTCAAAGAATTTTCTTATTTAAAATAAGATATAAAATAATTGAAAGACTGTATAAACGTTTACTTATTATTCCATTTTTTAGTTAACAAACCCTAATTCTCTGCAGTTCTAATAATTTACATATTTGATTGTTCATTTTATGAGTAGTAAAAATAAATATGCTTACACTTATTTCATTTCCTTTCTATTTTTATAAATAAAATGCGTTAACTTAGCTGCTTACCATTTAAACTAAACAAATAGCCAAATTAAGCAAAAATAAAGATAAATAATAAATTACAAAGATAAAAGACTTTAGATAGCTCATTCTTGATGTCTACTAAAACTAAATTTATAAGAAAAATAATAGTTTTTATTTTTTTCTACTATGTTTATCATGAAAATCTTGTTACAGATGATGAGTTGAGTAGAATTTATCTAAAAGATCTAAACATTTTTGCTTTGAAATTAATTGTATAGTGAATGAAATAATAGTTTGAGTTTATTAAATTTATCAAGGTTATTAATATTTTTTACAATTGTTATAATTATAATCATAATCTGAATGCAATTTATAAAATTAGTATCAAAATCTTTCATAAAAAAAAATTAAATAATTTAATAGCTAAATAATTAATTAATGAATAAACACTAAAATAGCGTTTCTCTCTCGTTTCTAGAATTAGAAATTCAAGAGAAATATCTATGATATTTTCTCAAGCAAAAATGTATTCTACTTCATTTACTTCTATCACTTACATTTTACTTTTTTAATATCAATCTATTTTTTTAAATTTAAACTTTAATTAAAATAATTAATTAATTAAAATTTAGAAGCTTTAAAATAATTTATTTTAAAAGTCTCTCTATTTTATTAATAACAATAATTTTTTTACTTTTGTCATTAACATATTACTTTCCAATAATATTCTTATATTAAGATTACATAAATATATTTCTTTCTTAAAGTATTCTTTTTTAATTTGTTAAAATAAAAATAATTTTCTTATAATTTTAAAAAAATATACTAAAATTAAAAAAAAATAATTTCAAATTTATTATTTCAAAATATTGTTGTTAATTTTCTTAATACATTTATTCGTTTATTTTTTATTAAAAAAACTTTGATTTTATTAAATATGAGTTAAATTTTCTAATATCAAAAGTAGACTTTATTTATATATAAAATCAAAGTACAATAACTTTATATTTTAGAAAAATTAATTTGATAGATAGTAGAAATTTATTGAAATAGAAAGAAATTTAATATCATAATTTATCTATAAAATACATTTATATTTATCTATTTAGAACACTTTCATGAAAAATTCTATTTTTGAAAATAATTTTTAAAATCAACTTAAAAAGATAAGCAATTAATTTAAAGTAAAAACTTTTTTATTCAAGCACAATTTATTGAATCTTAATGTATTAAATTTAAAAATTTTAGTTCAGTGCAATAAAATTTATTTATTATTCTTATTTTCAAAAAGTAAATTTTATTTTATATTATTTAACAAAATACTATTACTCTTTTTGTAATAAATAAGTTTTAAGAAGTTATTTTAAAATTTATTTTTACTAGAATTATCCGAATTAATTCTCTCTATATAAATTATATGTTTCGTTTGATGTTAAGATTAAAATTTCAAATGTTTATCTAATAAAATAGTAAACAATGTTGCAAAAAATAACAATAAAAGAAAACAAAATAGTCAGGAATATTTTGAAGATAGAACAAGTAAATAAATTTATTAAAATAAACTCCTCATAAAAAATAATTAGAAGTGCATTTTTCAAAACATTTTAAATAAAATCTAAGGATATAAAAAATATATTGTTAACTTTTTAATCATAACTTAAAATATATATTTGTAAAATAGGTAATTTATGTATTCGCTCAGTGAAAATAATCTTAGGGACTCTCTTCTTTTTTATATTTTTTTGTTGTAAATTTCAAACAAATAATTTAAATTTTGAGTATTTTATGCTTATGATTTTTGCAATAATTGACTATATTTCTAATATGTGAATGATTGATATCGTTTAAAGATCCATACATAAATATAAAATTAATTGAAAATGATCATTTATAACTAAAAAATACATGCATTAACATGTATATATGTTTAATTCAATTAAGTACTTGTTAGTAAATTTTGATTGATATTTTTTAAAAGCTAACATGATGCATGCATGCATACATTTTTTTATTGAGTAAAGTCTTTAATTAAATATATAAATAATTAGAAATAAATATAAATTGAATTCAGGAATATTAAAAAGTAAAATCATTAAAAACAAACATATATTTATTAATAAATATAGCAAATTCTTCAACTTAATAAATAAATCTAATTAATTAGAAAGATAGATAGATAAATACAAAAATTATAAATTCACTTACTAACTCTCATTCATTCATATAAATAAAAGAAACAAATAAACAAGCAAACAAATTTGTTAATATATAACTATCCAACAAATATGCAAAAAGATTCAAGTTAGATTGGAGATTAATTTCTTTTAAGTCTAGGAAGTTTGACATAGAGTGTACCCACTAATATTAGCGCTATGTCTAATTGTTCTTCAGGATAGCAATTTGTAAGCCATAGCAATACCTTATTAAAAGTATAGTCCTTAGAAGCAACATCTCCTACAGCAGTAGCAGCTGTTGGATTTTAAAGTCAAAGTTAAAACACTGAAGCAGTAATAAAATCAGGAGAATTAAAAAGTGTAATGAGCAGTGACAATTTACTAAATCTGGCACCATCAACATAATCTTAAGCTCCTCCTTAGGCACCATTTACTCTTACTAGCAGCACTAGTGTAACTATTAGCAGCATTGGTACTTAAATTTAAAGCTTAACCACTTAGATTCCAAGCAATATGCTATATACATACTTCAATTGCAAACATCAGGCAATAGTTACATATTCAAAGTGCTAGTTCTGCAAAGAGTGTGGTGTTAGAATGTATAAAGTGTTTTATTTTTTCAATTCATTATTCAACTATGTTCTTTTATAATCAGCATTATATTAAAAAAAAATCTTTCAAATATTATAGAATGGTTAAATGCTTGCACTCAAGTCTCAGTAGATGAATTACAAACTTAACACTAATCCTTTAAGGTTATATTCAAACACATATAAATAGAAAAAGTAAAAAAACACTATTAATTTTTAAGAACACTAAGACTACTTAAAGGTAAATAAAATTTAAAATAAATTAATTATTTTAGATAAACTTAATGGTCCATTGATTTGATCTGATTTTATTTTGCAGTTGGGTTTGTTAAATTTATGAAATTGTTATTTTTTAAATTTGTAATAAAGGATAATATCACTATTCTATAAAAATTTAAAGAAATTAACATGATTTGATGCTATGCTTTATCTATTATATTAAGAGACATCTAACAAAAATAAGTGAGTAAGTGAGGTTGAGATATGAAGCAAAATATTATAATCTAAACTTCATTGTGAGTTTAAGCAATAGAAAATATAAAAATCAAAAATCTTTTGTCAAAAATTTTTATTTTTCAAGAAATTCAAAAATAAATAGCATGAAATTTCTTAATAAATGCAAAATCTCTTGATTGCGATTACAGCAATTATCCTATACTCCCTCATATTTTTAACCAACCAATCACTAGGTTTCTTATGTAAAAGAGATTATATTAAAATTTTTAAAGATCAAATTATCAATTTCATTTAATGAATCCCACATATTACAATTTTTTTCCAGCTCAAAAAAAGTTTATTTTACAAAATTTTAATTTTAATTGAAAAATCTATACTAAAATTGAATTTTTGATTCAAATAAAAGTAAAAATAGATAGACTTGCCTACTCACTCTTTTTCAAATCAAATTCTAATAGCAAACAACTGTATTTTTAAATTCGTGCTAGATTTAAAACTAAATCATTCAATTTGAATTTTTACCTAATCTAATTATATATTTATTTGCTTTAACTGTTTTCATACTTTATGCTGTTATTTACAACATTCATTCTAAATCTTAAAAATTTAATGTTTAACAAATAGCAAAGAGAGCGCACTATAAATTATGTAATCGATTTGGCTGATAGAATGAGATTGAGTAAATAAACTGCTTTCTTGAGTATTATGTTCCTTGATTACTTGGTTGCTAATGATACCAATTCAGAATTGTGCACATTTAAAATTAAAGATCATTTATAAATATTTGGAGCTGTTTGTGTAATGTTAGCAGCAAAAAGTATTGAATTAGATGAAAGAATACCTTTTTTATCTTCTCTTAAAAAATATATGTGCTTAAATTAATACTCTAAAGAAGATTTAAGAAAGGCAGAATAGAAGACTGTATAAATTCTGAAATTTAATATGTAGTTTCCTACTCTTTATGATTTATTGGAGTATTATGGCTCATAAGGTGTTGTTTTTTCTAATGATTTATAAAAGGGTACAACATTCACATCAATTTTAAGCCCAACTCCATTTTTATCCAATGAAACTAAAAATACAAGTGCAAAGAAAGAACGTTTTATAAATAATAGAACTATAGAGTTAGAGTTTTAAGGTACCGCTCCTTCTTCTTCAGCACAAAATTAGTAATAGTCAGAGGATAGCACTAAAAACAGTTCACCTAATTCGAACGACTATTCCTCAACTCAAGAAACTTCATCTAAAAATTCAAACAGTGATGAAGCAAACCCCTCATGCTCTCCACCACCTCATTCAAAAATAGTGGAACCTTAACCTCAAGTAGTTAAAGAATTTGATATTTCACCTATTAAATTATATGATATAGTATCTAAGATAGAAAAAGATTTTAGCAGAATAGCTTTCTTGGCTATAAAAGGTAAAAAATACATTTTTAATGAATTTATAAATTAATTACAATAATTTTATTTTCATTTTCTACGATTAATTATTTGGAATAATGAGGACTCAAATATAAAATTATAAGAAATAACAAAGCTAACAAAAATAAAAACATAAAAAATCACTAAAAAAATAGAAAAATGGATGTATCAAATAAAACTTAATGCTAAAATAATAGCCGTTGCGTTTGTAAATGAATAAATAATAATTTTAACTATTGAGTCAGTAATTTAGGAAAAGAAACCCTAAACTAAAAGAACAAACAATAAAATATCCTGCAACTTTATTTTATACTGTATTATAGTAAAAGCATGCATCTATGCATGAATCATCTAAAAATTCATAGAATTTATTAATTAACTAATTTTTAGTTTTTATGGAAAAAAATTGTTCTAAATAAATCCTATTTAAATATTTAATAAAATTTCTTTTTTATTGAGTCATTCAAAAAATACAATTTGCCTCTCTCTATAAATCAGTCAATCAATCAATCTTTCTTCAGATTTATTTAAAAATTTTTTTATTAGCTAGCTAAAATTTATTGATAATTCATATAATTTTTTTTATATTTACTAATAGATGAGAAATTTTACGAATAAGATCTTGAAATCTTAGGAGCTGCTTGTATATGCTATTTAAGAGAAAAATAAAATATTTCAAATCCTTACAGAGATGAAATTTTATAAATTTGTAGCTAAGATAGAGCCTAAGTTTTATCTTGTTGCCTCACTTTTTTATCTAAATTTGATACCTACTTTAAGCCTCATAGTTATTTGAATGGATCTACATCCTCTGGAATATCTCCTCTAAAGGACATTAGAACTAATTTGAAATAAGGATTCTACACTTCTGATAATTATAAGAGCGCTTCCAATCTAACAACAACAGCAACTACTCGTATTTTATAAGAAAATAAAAAACCTTTATGTAATATATTATTTTTTAATCCTTTCAAAATTTTATTTATTAAAAATAAAAACTAATTCTCGTTTTAAATAACAGTTGACAACATTGATTTAAACAGCTACAGAATAAGAGAAAAATCATTTGAAAAAATTGGTATTAGCTATTAGAGTTAAAGAAGCTCTATAGCATCTTAACATGTTTCTAAAAATACTATATCTGGGCTGTAGAATAATAGAAATAACTTTTTTGAGTATGCTAAACTTAACGAATAGAAAATAAATAATTTAAGCTCAATTACTAACATATCAACTTCTAATGCCTCTTCTACTTCTTAAGCAGCTGCAAATAGTGGTATCGCCTCTAGTTCTAATTAAATACTTTAATCTGGTTCATTAACATCAACATCTTCAAATATTAATAGCTTATAAAGCAAATTATTGCAATAATAAAACGCTTTCAGCTCAGGCGCTTTTCATTCAAGCAGCTCTTCTTCTAACGCATTATCATCTGGCCTTTCTTCTATTAGCTCTTACTAAAAGCCATATTAGCTAGCATTAAATTAATATTCATCAAAACCACTTCTATCTACTACAACATCTACAGTAAATAGTAAGATTCCTTAAAGTATACCTAATTTTGATGACGAAGCTAAATGGAATAGTCACTTCACTAAAACTATAAATTCAATAAATTTCCGTGCAAGCTCCTTCAACTCTAACTCATTTTTGAGAAGAAACAAATTTTGAAATAAATTACTCTTTGATTGATGAATTAATTTTGAAACAAAATAAATAGAATTTATTTCATTTTTGCTTTATTTAAATAATAAAAATAAACAGTTTTAATTTATTTCAAATAAAAAAAATGCTAGGAGTATATAATAAATAATATAAATAAATAAATAATTAAATAAATTCGCAAAAATAAATATAAAATATTTGAGTCAAAATAAATAAATACGAAAGTATATTATACTCACTCATAATTACTATCTTGCTATATAAATTATAATATTTTAAATTAAAAAGAAGAATTTATCTTTTAAAACTTTTAACAATTATCTTAAATCGTAATTTTATATTTATAATCAAGTTTGTAAATATATAATATACCTTATAAATCCTCCTTCTTTTTCAAGTTAATTAAATTTTTTTCTTTTTTTCTTAAGTAAATCTTTCAAAATCAAACAAAATTTTTAATTTAATTTCAAATAAGAAAAAAATATCTTTCTAAAATATAATTTTTTGTCATAAAATTCAGTTAAGTAAAATATGATAAAAATATATCTTTGTTATTTTAATTAATTCTTTGTTTTATTTTATTTGGATTTATTTATTTATATTCTTTTTTCTTTCTCTCTTTTTCATCATGTTATTTGATTCCAAAAGGGTTTAGTAAGGTTTTATAATTTATAATTATCATAAAATAATATTTTATCTTAAACTTTTTATTTTTAATATTGTTTCTTTTATTATCATTATATGCTTGATTTCAATCTCTCTAAATTAAGTGTCTGAATGCTATTTTAAATATTTATATAAATATCATAATTGTAATTTTAATCATATTATTTATGGGAAAAGATATTGAATTGTTTTTGATCAATCCTCTCTTAATCTAGTTTATTTTTAAGAGATTAGCATGTTAGTATTGTGAAAGCTTACAAATATTTTATTTTTGAGTTGTTAAAAACTTAGGCGCTAGATGGAGTTATGAATAACCACATCATTTATCTTAAAAAACTTTAAAATATTAAAGCTTTTTTCACAATACTTTTTTTTCTTGTTTTTTTCTTATTATTTCAGATTAAATTATTATCAATTTTTATTTTTCCTCTTAATTTTTCAAATGACCTTAAAATACCCTAGCTAAAATCTCAACTCAAATAATTCAAACTTTCAAATAAAATTTATTGGCCTAATTTTAATTACAAGCAGTTATCATTTATTTAGATTATTTTTTTTAATTATTATAAATGAAACATTCTTAATTTATCTTTAAAAATATTTTTTTAAAACGCAAATAATTAAATATTAGAATTTTACAATGATTTTGGATAAAAATTAAATGAAAATGTAATTTTTTAAGAAAGAATTAAAATAAATCATTTAATATAATATTGGGGTTGGGGTTGGGGTTGGGGTTGGGGTTGGGGGTTGGGGTTGGGGTTGGGGTTGGGGTTGGGGGTTGGGGTTGGGGTTGGGGTTGGGGTTGGGGTTGGGGTTGGGGTTGGGGTTGGGGTTGGGGTTGGGGTTGGGGTTGGGGTTGGGGTTGGGGTTGGGGTTGGGGTTGGGGTTGGGGTTGGGGTTGGGGTTGGGGTTGGGGTTGGGGTTGGGGTTGGGGTTGGGGTTGGGGTTGGGGTTGGGGTTGGGGTTGGGGTTGGGGTTGGGGTTGGGGTTGGGGTTGGGGTTGGGGTTGGGGTTGGGGTTGGGGTTGGGGTTGGGGTTGGGGTTGGGGTTGGG